GCGGGTCTGGGACCTGGGGCTCTGTCCAGCTACCTGCAGGTGGGGCTGGGGGGCTGGGGGGCTGCTGCCCTGGGGGGTGGGGTGGGGCTGGGGCTGGGAGGGGAGGGGAAGGGGGGCAGGCGGGCAGGTACTAGTGATTCTGGCTGGACGGGTGGAGGGGGAACCCAAGGGGGGGGGAGCTTGCACAACAACAGAAGTCGGCATTGGCGATGTTTTGATGTGGTTGCATTTCCTAGCCCTCTCTCGCCTCGTCCTTGACCTGCACCCTCCACCCCCCACCCCCCAAACCCCCAACCCCACGGGGCCCTGTGCAGGTGTTGGGTCAGCAGACAGTGCCCCCAGCTCAAGCCCAGGTAGGTGCCCCTACCTGGGGGGGGGGCGGGGCGGGGCGGGGCCCTACCGGCCCAAACCAAAGTGACAAACAAAGTAACGAGAAGAAGAGAAATTCTTCTGCGCGAATATGGGAGGTAGCAAAATCAACCCCTGCAAACTCCATACATTTACCTGTTTTTTTCCTATCCTTACCCCCTCCCTCCCCCTTCCCCCCTCCCCCCCCCCTCCCTCCCCCTCCCCCCCTCCTCCCCCTCCCCCCCTCCTCCCCGCTCCCCCCCCCGCCCCATCTGAACCCCACACGCGCATGCAGGTGCTGTTCAGCAGCACCCCGCTCTGGTCGGCCCTGCTGGCCCAGCTGCTGCTACCGGGGGAGGCCATGGGCCCTCTGGCCTGGCTGGGGGGGGCCGTCATGCTGGGGGCCTCGCTGCTGGCGTCGCTGTGGCAGTAGGGCGGGACAGGGGTTGGCGGTGGTGGCGGTGGGTTGGGTTGGGGGGAGATGGCGGATATATGGGCAGCGAGGGTGATATGTGCGGAAGTCAAGGAAAGAGCTGCTAAAGGGGATAAATGGAGGGGGAGCAAGAGGCCGAGGATTTTTGCGGGGGGGGGAAAAAGTGAGGAAGGAGAGCTGACGCAGTGCGAGTCTGTGTATGTATATATGTATGTATATATGTGCGTGTATTAAAAAGGATTTGGATAACATTAGTTAGGGCCGTATATGTAGGCTTTGGTAAATGTGTATTGAGGGTGTGTGTGGGGGGGGTTACATCGGATGTAATGTATTACAGGATGGTTATTTGAATGGGGAGGAGGGAAGGAAGGAGACTGTCGGTGATGGCGGCTGGCGCGGTAAGTGGTAAGAGCGCTTGGGGGAGTTGGGCGAGCAGTGCGGTTGCGGAGCTGGTGCGGGCGCGCGGGTGGAAATGGTGGTGGTGCAACCCAGAGGTGTTCCTGAGCAAACGTGCCGTCGTCACAGCGGTCGTACAGCGGAGTTTAGCTTAGGGAGCCCAGTGGAGATGGGTAGCGTGCGGCCTGTGGCCAAGCTTGTGGGGGGGACGAAAGGTGCAACTGACGGTGTAAGCATGTACCGCAAACTGCGAGGAGTCCGCGAACCGACCCCGTTCATTGATAAAGTGCGTGTGCTCATTTTTGTGACTTTGGAAGTTTGTGGCAGCTTGTGCTGCCAAAGCTCTACGGGTTGGGCTGGGGCTAGGAGGGGATTAGGGAATAGAACTGCGGAGTGGTGGCTTTCGATAACTAACGTAACCAAAATTGTTATCTTGTGCTATCTGTTATCTAGTTTTTGTAGCAGAGTAGCAGGAGCCACATCGTTTAATTGCAAGGTCGCAGTCCTGAATTAGGACTTGGAGAAATGCTCATTTAGGAACGCCAAGCTAGTAGGAGGTAATGGTAAATGTTTTATGGGGTCACTGACGTTGCACACGGTTAAAAGGAGGTTTGTTGTTATGATTATTACTTGTCACAGAACGACCAAGTCGTTGCTGTCGAGTCGGTTCGTTGACACGATCCGGATGATGCCGCATGTACAAAGGTGCTTACGAACCTTTGATAATTGAAAGCACATATAACGAAAATTTATCACTTTTGCTCTTTCCAAATTCAATTGATCAAGGACACGCCATCAGGACGTTTTGTCGGGACGTTGCCGGTACACGTCAGAAGCGCAGAGCACTTCCAAGCATGGGTTCCCTCGTTCCAGGCTGGGACGCCGATATCGGCGTACCCAGAGGTGCGTGCGCTTCACCCAGCAGGACTACGGGGCAGAGCTGTAACCGGAAGGTTTTCCGCTGCAGACCTTGTACCAGACTCCGACATCGACAAAGAGCCTCAGCCTGAAGGATATTTTGCTAAACTGCGCTCTCACAGGTGATCACGACAACAGTGCAGAGAAGCTGTGCTTGGCTGCGTTCTTCGTGCGAGGGCCCTGCCAAGATGTCGACCATGGCCTCGCCATGCTCCGTTCCGTCTTGCAGGCACACCTCCGGTGGACCGCCAGCAGACGAGGCAGCGGTGCATCCTCTTGGTCGCATCTCTGCACCACAATCCGTAGCTAAGGGGAACACCAAGCAGGCCCTGGTTCAACGGTCTTCCACATTGACGCACACCGGTGAGCATTGCTCAGCAGGTGCCGCTCCACCGCTATTTTTACAAAAGGCGGAGGGCTCTTCTTTTCGTTCGACATGTCCTTTTGTTAAATCTTTCTCTCCTGAAGTCGGCACTCTGTAATCCTCTAATCCAGAATGCGTACACCAGTACTGGCTAGCTGTGCGCAACTACGTCATCACTTAAGGTGGATCCACATACACCTGCTCAGACACAAACCACCTGCAGCAGTCCAGCCTGTCGGGGGCGCTACCTAACACCTTAACTGGTAATGGGTCCTGCCCCACTTCGCCCCCGCTTGCAACCTTTTCCCCGGGGCCCCAGGCTCACGTGGGGCCGCCGCTCCACACAAGTATCAGTTTACGGACTGGTCGGAGGAGCTCACATCTCTACGAAAGGGTGGTAGTCATCTGGGCCGTAGCTCTCTGGTGAGTCCATGACGGCCTACCCGTTATAGGTAGAGTACTTGGCTTGGCGAAAATTATATGTAATGCGTAATGTATTTCCCGATCGAAAAGGTTTGTATCTGGTCATAGATCCGGCGCCGACGTTTTGCCAGTGAAAATACTCGAGCACACTATGCGACCCCAGCGAGCTCCTCTCAATTAATTATTGTCCAGAAGGAGTTGTAGTGCTGGCAAAATCCTCGCTGCCTCCTTACGGAACGTATTCTAGCACGGCGCATGCTGTCGGCTGCGACCCGTCCCGTCAGGGCTGCGACCTGACCTGCTTTCCTCGCAGGGCGCACACGAGCATGCACATGAGACTGGCCGTGAGGAAGCATCAGCCTGGTAGGTGTACTGGCTGGAGGGGTTTGTTGGTTGATGCATGGGTTGGGAGTTAACCGCACAGTCTGTCCGTTTGTCTGTTTGTCCCTTCCCTGAGTTTGGCATACAGACACGTTGCGAAGCGGTTACCTCGAAAAGCGGTCTTCGTTAAAAAAGTCTTTGTGCCCAACGAGAGGGAGGAATGGGACCCTAACCTATGTGCCGACCCGCTCACACTTTTTAAATGAATTTCTTTTGTTGTCCCCGCACCCAACTGACAACTGCCATGGCTTCCACACGATCGCTTCATGCGGTACACAGGTGGCGCGCCCTGGAGGTGGGTCAGCTGAACGAGCACCCGGATGCGGTGCCGAGCTCGGCGACGCACGGCGTGCAGCACGCCACGTTTATGCCGCAGTTCACACAGTCCAAACAGCTGGACTTTGGCGACTCTGGCTCCAAGTAAAGAAATGCGTAGGTACGGCGCGCCATGGCGTGTGGTTCCGGAGCTGCGGCGCGGCTTCGGGATCCGACTTGGCTTAGGGTGCCCTAGCAGATGCATGCATCTGCTTGTATGGTGAGGAGGTTGATGCCCCACGGCGCAATGCGGTCTGGGAGCCGGGGCTCCGCGCTTGATGAGCGTGGGTGGCCAATGTGGGCGGTGTAGTTTTCGGATGCCTTTTAAGGCATGTTTTGTTGTGTATTGAGGCCCGCCTGTATTTCATTTCAATTGTCAAGACGTGCAGGCAGGCAGTCAAGGAGATTACAGCCTATGCCCGACGTCAAGCGAACAGAACGCATCGGATAGCTTTGTCTGTAAATAGATGCGTGCAGTACCTAGTGTACATGAAGGCAAGATAGAGGAAAAGGGATGGACTTATTCGTGGAAAGGACAGGAGCGAATAAGTACAGTTTTGGGTCAAATGATTTACCTGTGCAAGCAAATTTTTGTTCAGTACGGCATGGCATGATACATATTGTGGTTCCATCCTTCTAAGGGTAAGAGAAGTTGACGAGTTTTGTGGTGGCTAGGTTTTGCATGCCATGCAGTGGGCACGTAAATTTTTTTGCGTTATTTTGGTGTATCGTTTGTATTCGTTTTATGGACGATGGTGAGAAACGGTGTTTTGCTAAGGTTTGAAGTGCAATGTGTCTATTACACCTTAACATCCAGAATTGGCAGCGTTAAATAGTTATCGGGAAAGGGCCAAATTGTAAAAGACGCGACGGATTCATTATGAATTATTTCTTTTGCCGCATAAACACGTGTTTCGCAACGCAATAATACCTCTGTTCATGAGTACTTGTACAATGGAGCCGGAGAAAGGAACGTGCCTAACCTACTTAACGTCAAAAAAACCGCGCAGCCGACAAATTTATATCCGCCTATTTTAACGCCAGAGAGCGCAGCGACTGTGCTGGGAATAACCTGCGACTCTCCCCTTAACATCAAGATTAGCTACTCCTATATTAGCTACCAATAGCCCGCCTACCGACAACGTAACATCTTGCCATTAATCAACCAGCGGCGCTTGTCAATAATCCCCCGGATCACGACAATGGACCAAGCCCGTCACCTGTACACTTATTCCTCCCCATCTGGGCACAACCTCAAAAACGCCAACTGGAGGCGAAAAAGTCAAGGAAAAGGAGAGAGAGCCGGGTTCAGACAAAAGGCCCGAAAACGATTCGAACGATGAACGTTGGTGCCCATACTACGCCCTTGAGCCCTTCCTGGGTGCAAGAACGGCAACCTGGGAAATGTGGATGTGAAAGCAAAAAGCTGTCAAGCTGCATTACGCGAAGCAAATGATAAGGTAATCTCACCACATTAAGAATTTGGACGTCGCTGGCCCCCAAGAGGAGGGACCCCAGACCACATTCGTACGAGACTCTTGCCGTACTCTGACCAAAATATAGCAACCGTGTAAAAATGTTCAATTTCCTTACTACAAAGACGTAAAGGCGTCTCCAGTTAGAGCCAATCATTGCAGCGTACCGCGCTTCCCATCCTCCAAGCCGATGGTAACGTGACTAACAATTGCCATCGAACCTTCTAATCGCTGCTAATCCGCAAGTTTGGCAGTAAACAGGTAAAACAAAGTCTCTAAATCCCCTGCCCTCGAGAAACATTCTCTATGAACCTGCGAGATGTCGCCCCCGCAACCGCGGGAATAAGCCTTTCTTTTGCTGACAACAACAAAAAGTGAAAATCAACCCTCCTTCCCTTCTTAGCCTCAGGCCAGCACAACCCCGCCTACCAAGGTTTAAAACCCAACGTGCTATAAAGCCCCCAAGTGGATGATGTCTCCACTCCAAAGCCAAGGTGAACTGGACAAGGAAGTCTTTGAAGCAAAATAACGAAGCTGCGTGCTCGCGCCCGTGTGCCATCCACCCACCATCCGGTTCGCCTCTACGGCGCTCCAGCGATTTACATCCATCCCACCACGACGCCTTGCTGTGCGCAAGCCCCTCGGGGAATGAGAAGCGCCACGAGCAGCGGATGCCGTACCCAGCTGGGTGTACGGCAGCTGATGTATGATAAGAGTCACTGCAATACGCCTCTTCCATTCTGAGGAAACGCCATGACGCGCCCACCTACATAAATACACGCACAATCAATACACACACAATCGCCGATGCACCGCGTAAACCGCAACAGTCAACACACTACATGGATTGCGGCGACCAGTCACATCAATCTCGCCCTCAGCCTCGCCACCGAAGCTACCGCACCAGTCATCAACCTCCAACTGCTCTTCCCCGCAACTGGCTGCTGGCAGCTCTCCTGCAGACAGCCTCCACGCCTATAGTTAGACAAGCACGCGGCGTCACGAATCCGCCTCCGGCCATGTCTCGTCCGGAGGAGCCAATGTGCGGTTGAGCTGTTGGAGACTCAGAGTCCAGGGCAAGGACAGCTCCTGGCGATCGTCGTCGTCAGCGTCGTCGCCCACCACCACCACCACCACCACCACAGGGAGGGAACATTAGCCGGCGTGGCCAGTTAGTAGCGGGGAGGCGCGAGGAACAGCCAGTGGCGAGGACAGGACGCAGGAGAAGCGGTGCAAAGAAACGGTGTCCCCATCCACATACACATATTTCGGCTTGGGGGCTTCCAGGTGCACGTCCGCCACAAAACTCGTGGCTCAACCCGTGGGGAACCCCAAATTGCTATCCAGCAGGTTTCCCCGCCCGCCTTTATCTCGTCTAACATTTAGATTGCCCCTTTCCGCCCATTCCATGTCCCTTATTCTTCCCCTCTTAATAGCCAGCCAGGGCGCCTACCTGCAACGAGCCAGAGTCGCCAATCGTCCCCTTATACAATAAGCTGATGGGTCCTGAGTACGACGGGGAAAATGGGGTCCGTACGGCAAAGATATTTTACATAGATGACAAGGGTTGTGGAGAGCTGACAGAATGTGCTTGTAATGTGGTGTATCAGACAAGATCCTTGAGAAGATAGCAGTGCAGGCAGTGGCCAGGTAATGACAGCGAGGCGGAAAAGCTGCGGACCCGTTCCTCTTAGGAGGACAGCAGGGGAGAAGACCCAAACCCACACGCCCGCGGAGATAGCGCGCCGGCCAACCTACCTGGGGCATCATAAGCCCGGCCCCGTGCAGGCCGCTTTGCAGCTGCTCCCCGTCGGCCACCGCCCCCCCCACCGCGCGCTGGGGGAGGCCGTTTTGGTGCCCGCCCACTGGCTTTACTGGCCTTCTTGCTTGGCCCCGCAATCGGCACCTCGTAATCCGGCAACGACATGCTGGGGCAGGTTGCTGCTAGAGAGAAAGATTCCAGCGCAAGATGGTCGTGAGGAAGGTGGATGAAAAATTTGTGAAGACGGCTGGAGGAGAGGGATACAACAACAGACACAGAACACGCATACATATCCAGGCCCGGGCCAGCGTTGCACGCGCGCATGTTATGCACTTGGTAGGAATAACGCAACAGATCTGACCTGAAAAAGGTGTCATCCGTGGTGTAATCTCCCTGCGCAAATGTGCGACAGATGAGAGACAGCTCGAGGAAACCCGGGTCCACATTAACCGGAAGCGACAGCAAGAAACGTACCCTCCTAATCCGTTGAGAAAATCGGCGCTGTTGGTGCTTGCGAAGCCGCAGCCAGCACCAGAAGTGTCAGTCGTCCCGGGGAACGGGCCTAGAAAAGAAAAGAGATGCGTTCAACCTCAGAGTCAGTCCTTAACAAGGAACTAGAGCAAGTGCTAAGGTGAGCACCAAAGACGAGCCCGTTTAAGACCGCAATGCGTTGCGCTGACTGTTCTGGTGAAACCTACCCTGTGCTTCCGGAAAATCCGCGGCAAGGACGTAGGCGCAGTCCTCTGCCAAAGCAAAGTGAGCTTTAGAGGTCTCATAACAGCCATCAGAATGCGGTCTTGCTCCCCCTGCAGACAGCTAAGCGGTTTATACCGGTTTACCGGGCTGTGAGATAGCTCATATCTTCATACCGTGTGAGAAATCTAACCAATTCACGGCTTCTCCTGGCAGTATCAAGTTGTTAATGCCTAAATCATTCTGGTTCCCGAAATTGATACCCCAGTCCGGTGCAGGTGTCCTCTCTGATGCCATAAGAAGATGACAAGTAAAATTTCCAACGTCGCACTGTGGTAACAATGCAGTCGCAGACCAGTCGTAATGAGATTGCGGCTGGAGGACAGTTGCGTTTGTACTGTCATGTTCCAACTGACTTTTTGGGCGGGCTCTGTACTCATCATGAAGCATAGCCCACTTCAAGAATTTTCATTAAAATGTCCAACTGCACATACACTTTCAACACTACGTCCCACCAAATTCACAACCCGGGCAGTTGTGCAGTTGCTCGTGAACATACGCATCGCACTCGAAGCAGAAAACCTGTTTGCACTGCCCGCAGCGTAAAGTTAGATGTAACTGCCCAGCGGCACCCGGCTGCGAAACCTCCCTAAGGCACCCGAAGCAATAGAGTCCCGTCGATGTTGGCACCTCATCCCGCATGGCCGGCTGCCCACGGAGGACAGCCGCCGCCTCTGAAGCCCGTTCCTGCAACGAAAAGGAATAGCGAAGCGCACAGGTCTCTTAGGGAGATCAGACACAACAAAAGAACCAGTTGGCGAAAAGCATGGCTCGCAAAGTAGTAGCGCGGCACAGGGTTCCCCCCAAGCATGTTGATAGAAGCCCCTTATGATTTCCTTTTCAAAGCTGTTTGCTCGCTCATCACTGTAAGAGAAAACCCCTCCCTTCGCACCCAGGAACACATTTTCCCCAAAAAACTGCAGACTTCCCTCTTCGCCACTCCCTACCTTGCTATCCTCGTGAAAGGAAGGCACCGGAAAGAGGTGATGATACGAGCGGGCCAAGTGCGGCGACGAGATGAGCGTGAGGCCGCAGATGTGGCACTCGCAGGGCAGCTCCGGGACCCGTGACTTGCAGCGGGGACACGTATAGCTGCCGGACAGTAACCTCGCCTCTAAACCCACAAACACGGCGCTGGAGGCCTCCTCAGTACTTCGCTGCGGGAAGCCCATCCGCACCTAGCCGGGGAAAAATATGAGCGAGTTAAGCAAGGGACGTTGCCGAAGGGCGGTAAGGAGGGGCGGGGGAGGAGGGGTTTGAAGCGGGCGCCTTCTGTCGCATGCCTTCTGTACATGCAAGACGCGGCCAAGCTATGCTGTCAAAAGAATTAGAGCACATGTCCGCATAATGTTAAAGAAATACTGCATGATGACTGTATCGTTACACGACTGTGCCGGCAGTTCAGTAACAGCTTAACGCAGTAGACAGTTAAGGACGGTTGGTAGGCCATGTTCTCTGTCGACCCCTCCTCTCCCCCCACCGCAAAACAACATATACATACATACATACATACATACATACATACACACATACATACATACATAAATACATGCATGCATACATACATATACGTACACAACAACAATCCCCTACCGCTCACCAGCTCCGCCTTTGCCTGTGCCGCGGTTGCTGGCGGCGGTGTGGTGTGTGCCATCAGCAGCTGCTCCAGGTGGGCCTCATTGAGCGCCACTCCGTAGCTGCCCCTGGTGTCCTCAGTAATGCGGCGACACACGTAAACCTCGGCTGCAACACCCACCACTGACACGCTGCATGCGAGGTGGAGTGGGGTGATGTGAAGTAGGATGGGGAGGGAGGAGTATAAGGAGGAACCAAGTCGGAAAACTCCTTCAAGGAAAACCCAAATCAAAAACTTCCCCAAAAGCAAAAACTCGTCAGCAGGCGTCGCAACGTGCACCCCTCAGTTGGAGGAGGAGGAGGAGGAGGAGGAAGCGGCAGCAGGAAGAGGAGGGAAAGTCCCCGGGAGTCTCCGGGTTTCCCCAGGAGGAGGTTGGTTCCCCGCCGACTGGGGTGTGGATTGGGGGGGGGTTGGTGGGGGGGGCAACCACCCGCAAGTGCGAAATACAAGGAATAAACTGCTTGGCTTATTAGGCCAGGAAGGAGGAGGAGGTGGAGGGGAGGAGAGAAATATGTATTGCCCTCCCCTTTCCCCCCTGGGTAACCCCCTCCCCCCGGCGGCCTACCCAGCTCCGTCCCTGGCACCATCCGCTCCCCTTACCCCTTTACCCGCACCTCCCACCCTTTCACCCCTCTCCCCCGCCCCCCTCCCCCCGCCCCCCTCCCCCTACCGTATGTTGTTCTCCTTGCAGGCCCGCACGCTGTCCAGCACGTTCCCTGGGTCGCACGTGGCCAGGGCCGCGAACACCACCAGCAGCTCCCGGTGGCCGTACGGCGGCAGGGAGCGGAGCACGGACACGGACAGGTCCAGTGCGTTCTGGAGGGAGACGTCACCCGCGGGTGCACCTGAGCAGCAGGGAGTGAGGGGGGGGAAAGCGGATAAGAAGCCGGGAGAAAGGAGTGGGGAAGCGATGCGCGAAGTGCAGCGAAACGAAGGTCAGGGGCCGGGGCCGGGGCGGTTAAGCCTCACACGTACTGCTATCGCTGTCAGCGTTACAGTCACGGAGCCACGAGGTGCGGGGGAGTGGGGGGAAGCCGGGCCGCGGAAGGATGCGCTGCTGTGCTCTGCTTCCATCACCTCCCATAAACCGCAGGTAAGCCAGGTGGTGCTCTCATGGGTCTTAAGACAGGCCATAGGAGGCCATATCGCCCCATTGCAGCGCCCACCTACCCACCCACACAGGAATTACTACTCTGCCCGTTGTTTCCTCCCACAAGCCCTCTTGCGCCCGCCCAGCCTGATTCCCAACACCCTCCTGAGTGGGTGCGTGGGTAGAGGCGGGGGGTGGGGGAAACCTCAACCCCTCTCCCTGCCCTCCCTCCACTCCCCCTGCCCTCCCCCTCCCCTCCCCCTCCCCTCCCCCTGCCCTCCCCCTCCCCTCTCCCCCTGCCCTCCCCCTCCCCTCTCCCTCCCCTCTCCCTCCCCTCTCCCCCTGCCCTCAACCTCGGCATCAGCCACCCACCCAGCTTCGCCGCATCCAATCTGGCCACTTGCGCCTCCGGACTTCCGGACAGGTCTGTCAGCTTCTCCACAAGGCCCCCCCGCATCACCGCGATACCCAGCTGGCTAAGGGGGTTCTGGTCGAAGAACTCGCGGATGAAGGAGCGGCACAGGCCCAGGATGCAGGCCAGCCGGTTGGGGCGGAGGTCCTGGGCTTTGGCGGCGCGGGACATGTCCACCACCTCCGGGGTAGGAGAGACGTGAGGGGATGGGAAGGTGGTCGTGTGGGGGGTGGTCGTAAGCCGACGTCTGAACACCAAACTTCTGGAGTCCAAAGCGATGGGCAAGAACAAGCGGAAAAGTGGGGAGGGACGGTAGTGTGAGGGGGGCCTGCGATGGATTGGATGTGTCGCGTGGGGGTTAGGTATGTTGGGTTGTTGGGGGAAGGGAGGAGGGAGGGTCGGAAGCGCGCTGCACATTTACGACAAGAGGGAGGGACTGCCTCTTGCCAGGACGGATGAGTTCCACCTCAACGGGGAAGGTCTTCTCCCTGCTGAGAGTGTGTACCACCTTACCAGCAGGAGGTAACGGATCATGCCCTTTCGGATGCGTGCGCTCTGGGCTGCTGACAGCAGCCGCTTCCGGCGCGCACGCTGCTCGGCGGTCTTGTCCTGCAATTGATTTCCGCACGGGCCGTACGTTAGACGTCAAGCTTGTCATATATTTGTTGGCAAAGCAGTTGGTTTTCGCAGCTGCGAAGGTTGTCTGCATACCACAAAGAGATTGCCGAATTCGTCCTCTTGAAGCTGGTCCCATGTTTGTTCATTTTCATATTGGCGCTGATAAGCCTCCTCTTGTCGTCGTCTGTGTTGCCGGCAGACCAAAATGAGTGACCAACAATTGCCCCTCTCTTACATGTTATCTGCTTACAGCTCATTTTCGTCGATATCATCATCGTCTCCGTCAAGTTCGAATTCGTCCTTCCTTTCCACCGCGGACATAGCCTAAGTCACGACAAGGGTGGCGGGATGCAATATTACTGCTATGCTGCTGCAGTTAACATAATCAGTAGCGGTCATGGCTTATTAGCAACGCCAGTCTCAAATTATTCACGAGATGGCATGTAGCCAAATTACGCTCAAAATGCGATCGGCGAATAACTCAACGTCCTGTTCGATAAGAATTTCCTCGAAAACATGCAATTTAAATTCAAGGACACAACGTCTGTAAGAATGTCACGCAGAGCTTCCAATGCCCGGTACGGCGTGTCCCATGGTTCTATCTGGTCACTCCAGTTCGTTATCCAGGCAAACTAGAATCTTTTAACTACTTGCCCTTACCAAGGCCCTAATATTAAGCTATTTGATAATGTAAATGTAACTAATCCAGTGCCTTAAGCCCATTGGAAGCTGCTATTCTCCTCCTCCTGGTTGCCATGCTGGTCTAAAACCCCCATCAAGGTTTATCATGGTCATATTCGCCCTTATTACGCAGCCATTTAACCGCAACCCATTTGTTTCCAGTGACTACTGGACAGCTGCCGTGCAGCGCGTGTGGATCGAGCTGTCCATCTGGCCGCGCACTCCAGAACAAGACAGCGTCGCCGGCCCTAGGCTTGTACTTGAGCCCGCCATCAGCATCGCAGTCTGTCCAGTTGCTAATTGGCTTGTTAATACCTGCATTCAAACGTGCCATTCACGAAGCACAGCGCGCACACAGTTTACCTGTTAGGGGAAAGTTCGCGCGCACCCTGTTGGTATTGACATCCCGGCGAGAAGTCATCCTTACAGTCCAACCCTGCTCGATCCCAGGGAACTTGCAGCACAGAGAGCATGACGACACCCTCCTGCGCGGAGTACCTTCCCAGCAAAGTGTACTGCAAACCCTGTCCACGTATCCGATGAGCCCAGGATTCGAGACTAAAACTTAAGCCACGCATGGGCATGGGCCTGAACAAGCTCCGTTGCTGCTCCTACAGCTGCAGCTACAGGAGTACATCACGTCAGGGGGATGCGATGGCGGCGCATGTGGCTAACCTTGCTAAGCCCACTTGCATCCACTTTCCCACACACAAACAACACTTTACAAGAAGGGTCTAGGATGCGTTCAATGCCGAATTTACAGCTCTCAACACTTACTGCTCTTTCCTTCGCGCTTGAACACCGTCTCGCCGCCCATGAGCCCATCGTCAGATAGTACGACAATCACTGTCGCGATTCGCTGGCTGTACTGCGGGCCGTACTCTGAACCAAAATGTACAAGCAAACGAAGAGCGGGTTAGAGGCATATGCCGATATACTGGAATAGACATTGGCAGAATGGCCCTTCTTCCTGTCGCTGCCGTACATTGTACGTCGTACACTAACTTCTTCAAGCATGTAAGCGCGCGTACCTTTTGGATCGAAGCTGTCCATATGCGAGTCGTAATGCTGCGAGTGCTTGTAGTTGAGGACGTTCCAAAACTGCAGGGCCGGGAGCGGGAATCCAGTTGCGCGTTGCGGGTTTTTCCAGGTTCAATAAACAAATCATCACCAGACACCGTCGCCACGCGGCAATGCCTAAAAAAACAAACAACAAGCAGCTCTCCCACGCGCCCAGGCTGAAATAAACTCCCGCGTCCCAGAGCAGATATCCCAGAACAGACTTCCCCTCAAATGTCCCTTCGTGTGCTGTCAAAGCCACCCACTGCACATCTACCAGCACTTACACATTCCCCCTTCCCGGGGCGGAGGGGCCCTCGGCTCCACCTCCCGGGCCCCTCCGCCCCGGGCCCACCCCGCCATGGCCGGTCGCGCACCTCTCCATTGGTCCTAGGCAGCAGCGTTACAGCCGCAATCTTATCCTCCAGCCACCTCAGGGCGGGTGAGGAGTCCCCACCCAGGAAGGTGCCCTTGCTGGTGCGGACCTGCTGCTCCGCCTCCGCCTTCTCACCGGGCCGATACGCCAGGCCGCTAGGGTACATGAACTTGCTGGCCACGGCAACGACCTCGTCGCAGCGAGCCTTGTCCACAAAGCTGGGGAACACCACAATACGCGGATACCAGGAAAGGATCTGCGGGAGGGGGGTGGTAGGGGGTTTAGGAAATGGTTATGGTTGGGTTGAATTGATGCACCTGGGTGAGTGGATGGAAACCGGGCCGCCTGTGTGCCAGTGCTAACGTGCGCCCGGGGCGGTTTTGGCTGAACTGAAAATCATAAATAAAGAGACATAAAATATGTCATGTAATTAGAGAAACGCTTTGCAGGTTTTCTTTAGTGATGAGGGGGTACCCTTGGAAGGGTTATTAAGGGAGCTCTCATTGAGCCGGTTTGGTGTCGCCCTAGATAGACCCGGGATCGCCTCTGTGTGTCAATCCCTCAATTGCCGCACCCCAGCCCCAACTATGCAGGGCCGAGGGTACCGATCCCACGACTACTGGTATATACATATATTCAATCGTACAGGTTCGATTAATCACCATCATAAAACATGCGTATTTATGCGTATGGCCGTATTCACACCAGCGGCCATCGGCTCTTTTCCGTGCCTTGCTAGGGCCTTGTGAGTCAGTGTAATCAGGGGGCCTGTCCAAACCTGCCTGAAAGGGGATCGTACGGTAAAAGGCCTCCCCAGTATCGCCAGGCGCCATGACGGGTTTACGAGCTTCTAGACCCTTCGACACCGCGGCTTCGAATGTAGTCAGGTCGAAGGGGTCGATTGTCGGAAGGCCGGGGGTACCCGCGGAAGCGTCCACAGCTCCTGACGTCATCAGCCGGACTTCCGTGACCATCCCTTGCAGGTTTCGGCGCTGGGAGGAGAGTTTCGCGTGAGACACAGTCGCCTGCGTGGGAAAAGAGCGATGGAATTTGGGATTTGCTCAGCCAAAAGGGCTTCTTGAGATTACAGCTCGGAATGGGAAATGCGTGGTGACGGCCGGAGGTCTGGCCAAAGCCAAAACAGGCAACCCAGCCCCGCGCTATGTAGGCAAGCCGCGGGAGTAGGCAAAGCGTACGTGAAGCGTACGTAACGTTTTGTTCACGGAACCAGCGTTTGCAAGCTCCCTCAAGTGCAGCTTTGCGGTCGTTGACGAGACGCTTTCTTTTAGCACAGCGATTCCTTACAACGACACATATTTCATAATCTGGTAAGCGTGAAGTAATTCAATGACCTTTCACTTGCCATTTTTGTGTTAACTACGGGGCCAGCTGGTTCCGGCAACAGCGAAGTTGTTAGGCTGATGCGTCCAAACCAAAATGCTACGCTGCACATGGCAAGCGCCAGCAGACCAGGCACCTTGGGTACCCGCCTCAGCGTCCGCGAAACCCGCCGTGCGATTCTGTCCGAGAGTGTGGGCTTTGGGGGATGGTCGTGCAGGCTCTGGCCAGCTGCAGCCTGGACCGTTGTGGCGACATGGACGGGTACGCTACAAGAAGTCGGCACTTGCACGCCGATCGAAGATATCAAGCTGGTTTGTTGATTGTGGTGGTGAAGGCTGCTGTGCGTCTGATGGAGGCCGACATTGTGACCGCTGTGGTCCATGATGCAGCTTTGACGCGACAATTGCGTCCAGGCGCCGGCGAAGCTTAAGCACACGGGACTTCAAGATAATTGACGAAATGGTTATTATTTGTCAAATGGTTGAGCTTGAGGGTTCAGTTGCGTAATTGGGGGTCTGCTACCTATCGGAATGCAAAATGTACTTCCGTTCCGTTTATCGATAAAGGCGATGGGCTACGACCCAACTACAATGCAATTGACATTTACAAAGCCGCTAAGCTGTATCCGATACTGACATGAAAGCACACTCTCTACAGCTTCGCTGTGCTATCCAGGCGTCCTATGGTACCGGACGTACGAAATGGCCCACCATGAAACGGTTAGCCCGTCCGCATGCCGCCTAGTACCATAACAGTGAGAGAGCTGCAAAAATCTCCCAAAACTAAATTTAGTCACTTGGCAATTGCAGGATTGCAGAACAGAGGTCGCTCGTCGCGTGGTCCTTTATGGTTCAATTGTCATTTACTTAAAAGCGATTATGAAACCCGAAATGGATGAGGACCCGACATGTGAGAAAATGTCCAAACAAAACTAAACCACATTGCTCGAAAATGAATCTCTTCCCTCGTCCAACGGATCTTCACGGCTGCTGCACCAGCCGGGCCTCACTTCTCCCCTTTTCCCAAACTCCCCCCCACGCAAGCTCAAAAATCCCCTCAGCTACACCGGGGCCCCTTCCGCATCGGAAGCGCGTTCGGAAAGGGCTGTGTACATAATCCACATGACTAACCAGCCGCAACGTAATGTTACCAGCCCTACTTGGAACGCTGACCGTATCCTAAAGGAGCACAGGCCCCGCGCCGTTTGGGCGCCTAACGCATAACGCGACAACAGACGACAATCTTCAACTCTTACGATCACCAACACCAACATCATCAGAAAACGCCCCCTCGGATGCACTCTCTTGGAGTCAACATGGACCTCTCGGCCTGGGGCCCGGACCTGGGCAACAACAACATATCTGTGCACGATATGGGGAGCATATCCCCTAGGGTCCTGGCCCTCGAGGGACTTGAACTTGGGCCCCAGCTCCAAGGAGGGGATAATCCCTCACCCTCGACCGATAAAAAATACACACTCATACTTGGCGATGCTGCTGTTATGGCTTTCTGTCACAGTTGCCGTGGAAATGGGCATGGGCATGGAAATACACATATGGTAACTCCCCCCTTCGCCTCACACAATGCTGGCCACAAATATGCTGACGAATATGCTAACGAATATGCCGGGACAAGGAGGAGCAACGGAGAGAAAGTTTGGAGTTGGGAGGGAGGAGGAGGAAAGGCCGGGGAGCTGTAGGGGTGCAGGAGGTGCACTGATCAGTGGCCTTCAGAACACCAGCATGCTAGCCAACACGCATATACATTGGTGCTTGATACATCATGATTGATCATGCGGCTCAGCGCCTACGCACGCACGGACGCACACACGTACATACATACACACGCATCCTTCAGGGACTTCCACGTGCTAATTAACCTGGCTTACGCTGACCTTTGCACGTGCACATGCACTGCATTGCGCTTGCACTGCTTTGCTCTGAGCGTTTCCCCTCGATGGCCTCTGCACTGTCCTGCACTGCACATGTGAGGTAGACATCATCATGCTAAAGCTATTACCTCGCGACTGCCAACCAGTAACCGCCGTCATGAATGAGCGAATGAGGCCACAGCGGATCCAAGTGGTTCCACAGTAATCCGGTTCCAAATCGGATCAATTGTAGCCTTAATCCATCCAGTGGGCGCCGACATGTACGGCCACGCACACAGAACGAGGGCGCGCCTGCCCGCGCCCAGACGACAAACTGCTGAGTTCCTTCATCATTCCACGTACCTACATATTTACATACAGCCAAGCACCCTCAAGACGCTGAGCGCCGCCTCCTCCCAAGCACGCGTGCAGCGCGTTCTCGGCCCCGCCCATCGAAATCCGGAAACTGTAACAAACGATCCTCAGACCACACCAGAGGGTGGGAAAAATAGAAGTCTTGGGAAGTACGTGTGGTCTACGGAGTTGGGGGATAGGGGGGAGGGTACATCCCAAATGTTTCCAGGATGTCGATGTACACGCCGGGTGAGAACACCTCGTTGCTGTAACACGGGCCGTACGTCGGCGGCGCGGGCGGGCAGGCCTCGGGGTCTACAATAACATAACCCGGCGGGCCGAGCTCGGGCGGCGGTGCACCGTACGTCGAAGGTGATGGCTGAGGAGACGCGTCCGGGGCCTTGCGCGGGGGAGGCGGCGTGCGCGGCATTGCGGTGCCTAAGCCACTATACAAAGGCGGTGAAGATGTCCGTAGTCCAGGGTAAGGCCCGGGTGGAGCGGCTGTAGGCGCCGGCAATGATGGTAACGGCGATGGCGGCGGCGATGGCGGCGGCGGTGACGGCGGCGGTGGCGGCGGCGGTGGCGGCATCGCTGGCGATTGTGGCGCCGGCGGAGAGGGCGGGTAGTTGGGTGGCGGCAGGGGTAGCTCCGGCCATCTTGGAGATTGCGGTGGGTACGTTGCAGGCAGCGCTGGGCTCGGAGACGACGGTTTATGGGGGGGGATGAGGGGAGGATGGGGTGGAGGCCGGAGTGGCGGCGGTGGCGGCTTGGGCGCCATCGGGGGCGGGGCGCTGGGCAGCAGCGGTGGTCGACGTGGAGCTGGCGAACACACCGTGGGGGCCGCGGGGGGAAAAACGGCGGGGGAGATGGCGGGGGATGTTTGGTTTAGGTCAGGGTGTTGAGGCTCAGATGCTAAGGAGGCGCCTGTTGACGTTTACGGTTAATTGAAGGAAGGGCGGCTTTGGGGCCCAAGATGGGGCAGCTTTTGCTGGCCTGAAGGCTCGGGTACCCGTCAACTGTGCCAGGCACTCATCCACTGCGGTCACTACTGCTACTGCTAGTGCAACAGCAGCAAACGCAAAGCAACAAAATTATGCAGGACTGAACAGGAAAGTGACCAACATAAGAAGGGCGAAGAAGGCCGCGGCGGCTGCCTCCACTACCCCCATTAATACGCGCCGCGACGGCGACAAGAAATGTCACTCACCATAGTAGCATTGAACCCCCACGTCCTCTGTAGAGCGTTGAGTTGCGTTCCATGGGGTGGACAGCAAGGTCGGGCAGGGAGGTCAGGCAGCAATGTGTGAGGCGGCACTCAAGGGTATTAGGGTCTAACTCCCTCCCACTAAGAGAATTGCGAAAGACATGGTCCAGAGCAGGAGGAGGAGGAGGAGGAGGAGAGTATGTAGAGTTGGGCTGAGCCAAAAGGGAGGTCAAGCACCTCCAAGCCCCTCCACCTCGCATGCCGTTACCCCTCCCGCGGCGTGTGGACCGCACCACTGACACTCATGTATCTGTGTACGTATGTATGTATCTCTGTGAGTGCGCGCCTCTTACAGCGGGAGTTGCGCCAACCCAATCAATTCAAAAGTCCAACAAGCTCATGTGCGCCCTAATGTGCCTCGGGGGCTAAACAATCGCGAGGCCGGATCTGCTGGGGCGTGAGGGAGGGGTTACTTTAAAGCGCATGCATGTACGTGTGTGCGTGTGCATGAGTTTTATCAATTCTCACGAGGGTGGTCCCCAAGCCCTTTTCCTACGGCAAGCACCCAGCTCACCGAAATGTGAACAGTCCGTCCAGCCCCATCCATCGAAGCGGCAATCCGCAAGGCGGGCCTCAGCGCCCCGGCACCTCACAGAGTCTGAGAGATACAGCGCCACGTTAGTTTGGGCACGGGCGGTGTAAGTGCACAGGAGGTGTTGTTGGTAGGGCGGTGTTGGTGTTGGCGGTTTTGGTGGGGGATGGATAGGGGGTCATACATCACTACAGCAGCACTTCAGGATGACTCATCGGAAGGTAGGGCATGTGGAGTGGGGGGCTTTGAGGTTAGGGTTTGAACATAAACTGGTCCCCGTTATGCCTGCCGGACAGACACCGGTGTGGAAACGTGCGTAACTTCCCCCGTTGTGACGAGGCCCCCGGGTCATCGGAGCGGAGCTTTCCCACCACATACCGCGTCTCCAAGTATTCGCATTTGGCTGGCTGAGTTTTCATCGATAACGAAAGAATCGCAATGGGAAGAAGGGAGAGAGGAGAGGAGAGATGAAGGGGCGAGGAAGAAGCCAACAGATGAGGGTGGGGAAGGGCAACATGTGGCCCTATCCCAACTAAGAAGATGTGTCGTATGACACGCAGCCACCCGCCAAACTCTCTCTCACCCATCCACACGCTGCCGCGGCCGGCGCCGTACTGCAACACCGGGGCGACCCCGCCAGCGGCAAAACCCAGTTGCCGGCACGCCACGCTGGCTTCTAAATCCGTGAAGTTGTCCAAGCACACGGTACCCTGTAGCAGCACGAGACGTCGGAAAGAAGAAAATTCCCTACAGTTTGAGAAAGGAAGATGCTTGCTAGCGAGGAAAGGAATAGCCAGATGGGAGCATGTTCGGCCATTACGTACGGAGGGGGGGACCTGGTTGCGGTGTTTGTGCTGCGGCCGGCAGCAGCGGCAGTGGTAGGCAGATCCAAGTGGATCTCTTATCACGACTAGAGAGAGCGCGAGGGAGATTCTCGTCTGTCCCAACTTGCCCAACAGGCTTTTTCACACAGACGGACGATCATGTTTGAAGGTCATGTTTCCGGAAACCTCCATGGAGAATGTTACCGTGCTTTTTTTCCTGCTTCCTGCGTGCTTCCCCCGTAAGTGCGTTTTTCTCATTGTACACTTACCCAGCCGCCGTTATGTAGCACCTCCAGCCGGCCCGCAGTGTCGGTGCCGTTTGCAAGACGCAGGCCGCCGTCCTCGACTGGGTGGAGGGCGGCGAGCGACAAGAAGGACATGCGAGCAGAGAGCAGAGCCTTTCAGGTGCGATAGATACACGCATGTATGGGATACCTTAATTGGCAAACCGGAGTGGCGACACTCAGGCACACATACATACACATACATACACATACATACACATACATACATACATACACTCTCTCGCTCTCTGGCCACACAGAAAGTTCAGCCAAATGCCAAATGCCCTACAGCCTGACGGTTTTACCACCTGGTGATAAAACCTCACATAACGTGATGCTCACTATCTTCGTCGGCCTCCCCCCGAAGCTCTCAACGCTCCCAGACCTACCTCCGCACATTACCGCCGCCGCCCAGTACGGCTCGCACTCGTCATCTATGATATCGTCGTACGAGCATGACAGCAGGGATGATTCCGTACCGACGCACTTGAGGCCCTTGAGCCACATGTCCATCACTGGACCGTTGCGGATGCCGTATATGTTGCTGAAGACAAGTGTACCTACATACATACATGCACACACATACATACAAACACACACACGCGCGAGAGAGAGAGTCAGCAGGGATGCGATGGATCTTTGTGCATGTTTTTGCTTGAGGACGGAATCGCGTGTGGGGGGTTTGTCCGAGATTTTGTTCACGCCGTTCTATCCACAAGTTGCGTCCTAATTAGGAATGGAGTGACCGATTTTAGTGTAAGCATCGCACGGCCGCAGTTGACGCATGACCCCCTACTTCTCGCGGCTAGCAGTTCCTTTCAATACATACGATATATAATGCCACGTTTGCCAAAACGAACCTAAGTATGAAGTGGAGAAAGGAGGGATGGTGATGACGGTGGCTTTTAGACCTCGCGCCTCTCGCACTCACCGCCGGTAAGCCCCAGCTGCCGGCACACCACTCGGGCAGTCTGAACTGTCCAGGCTCTCACGCAGAAGGTCCCCCAGCCGCCGTTAAGGGCCATCTGGACCAGGCCAACAGAGCTGCTGTTGCCGTTGACCAATCGAAGAAACCCATCTTCATTGAAGGCAAGGGGGCCGAGGAGCAGGGAAGAGTGGCTGAACAGGTGATGTGGGTTGCAGGAGTACGGAAAGCGCACGCGGACCCAGGCGTAGCCAGCCGGACTCGCCGGCAGGTGGGATGTGAAGGGACAAGGGACGCAGTACGGATATACATAATAGTTCTTTTCCACATAGGCGCCTCTTTCGTTCATATGACAGTTGAGGATGAGGTTGAGATTTAGGATTATCACTAGGATTTGGAGTCCCCGCAAAAAGATGCGCCAACAGTTGAGACAGGGCAAATGAGACAGGGCGAACTGTTTCTCTCCATGCTGGTATTTTGGGTGTGCGCCGAAAAGGGGATGGGAGAGTCGAAGCGGAGAGGAGATGTTCGATTTGCCGCACTTACCAGCGTTTACAGGGAGCGCTGGAGGCTTTGGTGGGCTGGGGGGTAAAGGCGGGGGCTCGTCTGCAACGCGAGGGCAAAGCAGCGGGGGAAGAAACTCTGTTTTTACTACCAATTTAGAGGCGACAAAGACCGCCGGCGGTTCAACCACTGGAAGTCTGTTGCCCCACCACCAGGACCACCACCACTTGGACGACCGCAAGTGGCTGCGGTGCATCAGAAACTCCCGTTGCGCAAGCACGGGCAGGAAGATCTAAGCGTGGGAATCCAGGTCGTCATCATCATCATCATCATCATCATTATCATCATCATCATCATTATCATCATTATCATCATTATCATCATCATCATCATCATCATTATCATGCCCTATCGTCTCCTGAAGGAGGAACCAGAAGCCCTCCCCGCCATCATCATAATCAGCAACGAGCCTGCGCATCAGTAGGGCGCCCCCCCCCACCACCACCAGTACCACCGGGAAGAACACAACAACCTTTGTGGCAGCAGCACCAGGCATTCAGGGAAGAGTCGCACAGGAGAACTCACCGAAGCAAGACACCGCCACGTCCTCTGGGGGAACTCGGAAAGGAGGCGGGTGGGAGGAAGGGCCCCCGGGCCGGTCGGTGCGGGCAGGTAAGGAAATTGGGAAGAGTAGGGCAGGTAACGTCCCTCACCGCCGCCATGCCATGCTACCGGCCATCCCATCACGCGTACCCACTGACGTCCTGACATGCATGCATGTGTGTGTGTATATTCCTCTAAACGCACATGCACATGCACTTCGTGGTATTTCCTTGCCACGGCCTTCTCACAGCTCCATTTTCAACAGCACATATACACATACAGGCTACTTTCTATCGCGGCTGAGTTCATTAGAACACACAACCACACACAACCACACACACTCACCTGTGTGTTTACAGTCCGAGGGCCTGCTAGTTCGCGCGCAGTACCACAGCTTCAGTTCGTGGCCCCAACACATGACGTCATCCTGCGCATCATGTGTAGCGTCGTATAACACCAACACAACAACCGCCCGGTCTCCTGCCGTAAGAGATAAATACGTTATGTATGCTCGTTCACTCCTGCGACTGCTATCCCAAGGGCTGCTCGACGTTGGCGGGCGGTACAAAGCCCGGGGGAAAACCTATAACTTCTGCGCACCCTTGACAAACGATTTAGTTCAGGATGAGGCGTATTGTTGCTGTTATTGTATTATTATTTATTATTAAAGTAATAACAATAAAAATTATTATTATTATTATTATTATTATTATTATTATTGCTATTACACACGCGCACTGCTTCTCTCTTCCTCCCTCTGCACTCCCAGCCTTACCATCCAGATGGGTCCCGTCCCCGGTCCGAAAGGCGCCCCGTGCATTGCCCGCCCGCCAGCGTGCCCAAGCTGCCGACATGCCACCGTAGCAGCTGCCGTCAAGAGTCCGGGGATTTCCAGATTTAGGATTCCAATTTTTAGGTTTTAGAGATAAAGGATTTTTAAGGTTTTGGAGGTATATGAAGCCGCCAACGAGGCGGGGTCGGTTAGGAAGGATATCAGCCAGTGCGTACAGATGCGGGTGGGGGCCAGGTGCAGGCAACAATCTGGCAAAGTAGAAGAAGCAGCAGCAGCAACAGTAGTTGCAGCAGTACTCATTCGGGCGAGGTGCAATAAACAACCGCCCAGCTATGCCGTACGAGGCATTGGGCCCACCCATGTGGCTTTTCCCCTCCCGCTCCTTCGCGGATGGCTCCCGGCTATGTGGAAAAGTCGGTTTGTGTTGCCTTGCCACGCAGGCGACAGGGCACTTGCCTTTGTCGTTAAAGAAGTCGTCACACACCGTCCCCCACTCGCCCTTATAATACACCTGCATGAATGAGTGGAAGATGCCTTGCTCAGGTGTGCAGACAGGGCCCTGTGGGGGCCTTATGGGCCCCACGTCTGGATGCACTAATGCTCCAAGGAATGGGCCCCCCCCCGTCGCTGCCCCCTAGCATCCCGACAGCACGGCTGCTGTTCCAAGGGGTGTTACACCGGGGGGCCCTCTTCGGGTGTCCGCCCCTTGGTGTATGCGGACCAGCTCGTTTGGTGGCTATTGCCGTGACAGCTTGCCCCGCATTTCTTCCCACATTGGAATAAGCCCCGGTAATCATTCGGGTGATGATGAATATTGGAAATGGAAAAAAGCGAGGCGCGCGCGGGGATGCTGATGCTGTAGCAGTTGCCGCTGATGTGCAGCTGCCAGCAGTAACAGGATTGCCGTCTTAACTCCAGCCTCACGCGCGCGAAGTAGGCTTACCTGGAGCTGACCTTCCCAGGCTGTGTTGCCGTTGACAAGTCGCAAGTCCCCGTCGTGGTAGACACGGGGCCCTGCGTGTGGGAGCGGTGGCGGCAGGGGTGGGCTGCTTTTTCTTCTGCTGCTCCGCTACTGACTTCCGGACACTAGAGCAAGGACATCTTTACGTGCGAGCAGGCACGGAAGATAGAGATATAATGGGAGAGAGAGAGGGAAAGAAAGAAAGAGAGATGGAGAGAGCAGCAGCAGCAGGATGTGGCAGTTTATGTATGTGTTTTCCAACAGCGGGCGTTAGAGAAGGGGGGGGGAGTCTGGCGGCACAGCTGTGGCGCCGCTCGCGCCGGTCGCCGGGGGAGTGCGGGAGGACGGCGAGGCGGCAGGAGGAAGGATTGGACGCACCGGGCGGAGGGGGACTGCGAATTGGCGGTGGTGGCGGCGGCGGGGGCGGAGGTGGGGGCGGCGGCGGATGTGGCGCCCACCCGTAGATGCTTTGGAGCGTAAGGAGGCGCGCGGCTGGGGTAAAGGGAAAGGTTGTGGACGAGCAAGCGAGGCCAAAAGGAAGGTTAAAGCGACAGCAGCGCTTAGCAAGGCGTGCTTGTCTTGAATTATTTGGCTGACGCTAGAATGTACAGCAGTAGATACGCATTGCAAAAATGAGGTGCTGCCCTGGGCTTCTGGCGGTGCCTGAGGACCAAAAGGGTACCTGACGCCACGATGACTCCCGAAAGCTCTACACAAATGGCGAACAGAATAGCGCTGGCCACACAGCGCTGTCGCTGCAGACCCATTTCTCTGTCGTTAAAGTATCAGGAGGTTATGTGTCCGTCGCCTAACGACCGCTTTGCTCGCGGGTGAACCTAACCAACGACTAGAATATGCACCGTTCTGGACTGAAAAGGATACGTGCTGCGCGAGCTGGGTTGCATAATTAAACCATTCGCGAAATTAGCTGGTCAAATATCCTGCAGTGTATGTATCGGTATGTGTTGAGGATGCTCTAGATGTAGGCAGTTTCACATAACAGGTAGCTGACGGTTTGCTACCTTTAAACGCAGTAGTGGATCACGACAACTGCCTGCTAACCGGCCCGGCTCGGCTGGAGCGCTGGACATTGCCGCTTCGTAGCAGCTGGTTAAAAAACCTGAATAAGGTAGTATCCTAGCTGGTCATAATGTGTAATGGCATTTTGTTGGGCTGGTGGCGACATAATACATCGTACAATGCGTTGGACGCCCGTTTACGGTTTACCCCGTGAAGGTTCCTTGGCATCTAGAGGGATGCCATCTATGCACTTGCCTGAATTTTTTGGGTGCCGATGAGTGGCACTTTAACGTTTGACAGGCCAGAGTGAGGGAGTCCCAGAGTACCGATTAGATTATACAGTGTTTGCATTCTGTAGGGCTGGTCAGTTCAATAAAAGTTCTGGTCATTTGTCACCAACATTTTGTTCATTACGAAACTTCTTGACGCTACCTTTCGAGCCCTAGGCTCGTGACAGAACTGACTGATACTTTCTGCAAAGATTATGAGGTTGCGGACCTGAATAATGTCCGTCTTCAGACCAAACTTACTCCTGCATGTGCGCTAGGCAGCATCTGTCGCTGTCTCAAACCGTGGAACGCACCTTTGCGGGCCCGACCGTGAATGCGACCCGGACTCTGCGGCACAGCAGCGGCCAGCTGCTCCTGGCGCCAGCACCTGACGCAGCTGCGCACCTGGTCCCCGTAGCTACTTCCCCTTTTCCCACTTTCCATACTACCCCAGCAAACAAAGAAACACATAACCATCTTCGCAGCCGCCGCCTGCCGCCATGTTCCGCTTGTTCTTAGACCCCTCCATCAACGCCAAGGCATGGTACCTGTGGTGCTTTGCGTCGTTCGTGTCCGTGGGGCCCTTCCTCAATATCTTCTTCTATGAGAGGGGCCTAAGTAAGGCCCAAGTTGGGCTAATAGGTGCGCTGCGCCCCTGGACCAGCGCGCCCGCTTCCTTCGCGTGGGCCGCGCTCGCTGACCGCCTCCACGCGCACCGCACAGTGCTGCTGTGCGCGTTCACAGCTTCCTGCGCGCTGAAGATGCTGCTCCTGTTGCCACGCAGCTTCAGCGGCCTGCTGGCAGTGGTGCTGGCAGCGGAAGTCCTAGCAGCACCAGTGGGCGTGCTGGCTGACGCCGCTGTGATGCGAATCTGCGAAAAGGTCCGTCCGTCTGTCTGCGCGTCTGTCTGCCCTTCTGCCTGCCTGCCTGTCTCTTCGGCTCTGGATACGGTGATGCATACGGCCGCGAAACCCCCCAGGCACGCAGGCAGAACCAACAGCAGATTCCGCCGCGGGCTTTTACTCAATGGCGCGCTTTTGCTTGACGGTACTTGCGTGCACACACACACACACACACACACAGCGCACGTGCTTTTTTTGGCCCTTGCGCTGTGTGTTACCTGACCTGCCAACGCACGTTACGGGGCCGGGGTTTCGGAGCTACGGCACGAAATGAGGTATTACCCCCTCGCGTCGCTGGCGTCCTGGCATCGTGAGCTAAGAATGGATGCACACAGCTCACACATGTCAGTGGGGTTCGGAGGGCCGCCCGGTCCCACAGCGCCCTCCTGCACGTCCCGCTCCTGCCCCGCGCACCGCCGCAGGAGTCCGATTACGGGAAGTACAGGCTCTGGGGCGCCGTTGGCTGGGGCACTTTCGCCTCCGTCGCCGGCTGGCTGACCTCTCACCTGGGTATTCGTTGGGCGTTTTACATTCAAGCCGTCCTGGCGCTGCCTTGCCTCTTCCACGGAGCGCGCCTCTTCGCAACGGCACCGCCGCGACGCCGGGGGAGCGGCTGCAGCCTGCTGGGTCCCGCAGCGCACAGCGCCGCTGCCGCAGAGCGCACAGCGCCACCGCAGCGGCAGCGGCAGCGGCCGCACCAGAGCCACGAGCATCACCAGGTTTCCCCTGATACGAGACAGCGTTGTTGCCGGTTTTCAGGGAATTGCAAAGGCGGTCATGTCCACGTCCGTGACCGCTGTGACTCATCGGACTATGAAGATGGCAGCGCTGGTGACGGCATCCACCCGGAGGACCTGGAGGAAGGGCATCCGCTGCTGCCGGCGCAACCGGACAGCAGGTGGGCGCAATCCGAGGTGTTGCACCGGGCTCCCGCCACCGTGGCGCCAGCGGCGGCAGCTGGTGTCCCTGGGCCTCCCGGAAGCGGCGACGGAGCTTCAGCGGCGGCGGCGGTGGCAGGGTCCACCCCAACGGCGACGTGTAGTGCTGCAGTTGCAGCTAGAGAAGGGTGCAGGGAGTATGACGCAGCCGCCGTCGACGTGGCTTGCGGAGCTAGTGGTGGCCGTGGCGGTGGTGAGGGAGGAGGAGATGGGGGGGGCAATGGGGCCTACTTCTGGCGGCAGCTGGGGCCGCTTCTGCGGAGGGGAGACGTGGTGCTGTTCTTGGTTACCACTACGGTCATGGGCTACGGCTTCGGAACGATTGACTCCTTTTTGTGAGTGTACGACTGTTGGGGGGGCGGGCCGGGGAAATTACATGTTTCAGTGTTCACATGCAATGTGTTTTTGTTGAGGGGGAGGAAATACTGGGGCAGGAGGATCTGGGGAGGTATCGGAAGGGTGTGTGTGTATGTATGTGTGTGAGTGTGCGTGAGAGGAGGTCATGGGGCCCGCAGGGTGGGGTGAAGCGGGTGGAGGAGGAGGAGGAGGGTGGGGCAGGCGAGCGAGGGGGTGAGGGGGTGTGCCTGGCCTGCACGGCGGATGCGGGTTATGGTCGACGACGATGGGAGGTTGTGGGTGCGGGTTTTAGGGTTTTGGGTCGTATGGGATGGGAGGCTGGGGGGGAGGTTGGGTTGTATGTATGTGTTAGGTTACTGAGGAGGCGGCCGGCCACCTGGCGGGCACCACGGGTTTTAGATAATTGCGCAGCTGCGGCCGCGCTGGTCAGCTCCCTACGCCGCTTGAGGCCATGATCCTTCCCTGCACATACCTTCCCGACGCCTCAAGCTACTCACACCCTTTCACACATCTCCCCAGTGTGTCTTGCGGCGTGGGGGCTGCGCAGGTTCCTGTACCTGGGGGAGATGGGCGCCACGGGGACGCTGATGGGCCTTACGCTGACGGTAAGGCCGCATGGCGCCAACCACCCCACCCCAACCCCCCCCCGGCCGCGGTGCTCACGATGTCCAAAGGAGCCGCCTTGGAAGGTCCTTTTAGGGGGCTCTTTTGGGCTGCTGCTTACATGCGCTTCGGCTTTGCTTTATAAGAACTGTTGTATTAAGCTGTATCATGTGAAATCCATTTCGTGATGGTGGTGTGAATTCTAGACTTTAGATTTCTCTCTTTCGACTGCACGCTTCCCAGCTGTGCTTTGGCAAACGCGATCCCCGTGCCAACCACACCCCCGTGCTCTACAGCCTCCTCCTACACATGCATGTCCTCGCATGTCCTCTTCCGCCTCCTCCACGTCCCCGTCCTCCTCGTCCTCCTTCTCGTCGGTATAGCCGGAATGGGCCGCCGTACCGGGATCAGTCGCGGGCCGCCGGCCGCCACCTGCCGCCTGCATTCGCCGTTAGGACCCGCAGATTGCATGCCGCCCCCCTGTGCGGCCCCGCGGCGCTATTTATCTGTCCATCTGTCCATCTGTCCGCCCACTAACCGCTCACCCTCCAAACCCGGCTTCTCCCGTGGCCGTGTGATCACCCCGCCAGATTACATGCGCTGCGGAAGTGCCTGCCTTCCAGCTGCAAGACCGACTACTCGACAGCTGGGGCGTCCCTGCCGTACTGGATCTGGTGCAGGCGGTGTACGTGGTACGGCTGGCGCTGTACGCTGCGCTGCCGTACGCGGGTAATGTGATGTGGGTCCTGCCGGTGGAGGTGCTGCACGGCATTACCTTTGCATGCGGCTGGGGCGCGGGAACCGTGAACTGCAAGCTGCTGGCACCTCCGGAGATGGCGGCGACGCTGCAGGTGCGGGGGAGTGGTGTTAATTAAACGATGTTAGCGGCGGGCAGGAACTGGCGAGGAGGGCGGTGGCGCATGGCGTGTGGCGGAGTGCGGCAGAGGTTGGGGGCTTTGGGTTGTGAGTGGTGCAGCGAAGGTTTGGGCGGGCGTTAGTGCGGGTTGCGCGGGCAGCTGGGCCGGGACGGAAGGAGTAGGCATAGAGTCGGGTTAGCGATAAGTCGACTGCTTCGGGGCATGTGCGTGTGCAATGGGTCAGGATTGCTTTGCCTCGTTGTGGGTTCTGTTGGGGTAAACGTGGATTTGAACCGGGAATTGCGAACTGGGGCTTGCCTTGCCTTGCCTTGCATGCCACGTGGCGCTGTTCAACTATTGGTTCTCATGATAATAACGATGCCTATACGAACCAATGGTATGCTGCGTCCTGTTTACGCGCGCAGGGAGCGTTCCAAGGTCTCTACTTTGGCTTGGGCTACGGGCTGGGGTCACTTGTGGGCGGTTGGCAGGGAACGAAGTTGGGTTGGCAGGGTATGTTTGCTTTGGCGGCGGTCACGATGCTGAGTTTTTGGATGTGCACCGTTGCCGCTCGGCGGGTGCTGAGAGCTCTTCGGCCTCCGGCAAGCAACACCGTGGAGAAGGGCATTGAACTAGCACATGCCCTGAATACGTATTGAGTGTGTATATTAAACAAATGGCCCGCCGCATGCTTTCAAGGTTTAGATTCCGCATTTATTGCAAGATTCGTCAGTAGTTGGTTATGATTATAGAGTATTTGTGACGGGTTGTCACTTGTACGAATGTGTTTCGGAGGTTGATATGCCTTGCTACTGGAAGAATATGGTGTACTTTCAGCTTTTGATGCTTGTGGGGTATGGTTTTGCTGTCTTGGTCTTCACCTATGATGCCGATTTTGAGTCTCGTTCGTTCACCGAAACGCTCGTGTAGAGTTACAATATGCACGCAGGATGAATGCACCAAACAATGACTTCTATGCAATTAAATAAACAAAAACTGTAATAAATCACACGTGCAGCCCTTGGATCGTAGCATATCGTTTTATGTACTCAGCGCGCTCACGATTGTGTTATGCAGACCGTTTGCGGGCCAGGTTAACGGGACGCAGATCATCACAGTATACGTAGTCCATGCTGTAGCTTAAGAAGGCGTATTTGCCGGCTGAACCGGACGTCATGGCGTCGGAGGACGAAGACGCCTATGAGGAACCCGCTGCGTAAGCAGTGCAGGGTCACGTTCTGTTTTGGTCTCTCTGCCAGTCACATGGGATTCCGCGCCGACGTTTTGCAGCGGTGTCCAAAGCCCTCAACACGTAGCTACTGAATAGACAGCTTGCGTCGTGGGTCAGTCTCCAGAACCTGTTACGGGGAGTGCCCCTTTTGCAGTCTGCAGACGCGATGACGGGGGCTCGCCTAAAGTTTTGCGTCCATACCGGCTAAGACTGGGCCATCGCACCCCAATGCCGCTGACGCCTTATACGCAGGGACGAAGACGACCGTGACGAAGACTACGTCGCAAGTAAGGCATCCGAGTTGCTGATTGGCCTCCCCCGTAGGCGGGGTGTGTTAGTCGGGCAGCAGCACAGTCACGGGACCAGCGCAACTCTTCGCGGGCCGCGAAACCCCGGCAGGAGGGTTTCAAACACCGTGTGTAACCCATGCACCGTGCAGAACCCGCTTCTCCTCCTCTGCGCCCGCAGATGATGATGACGATAACGGTGCCGACGATGACGATGATGACGACGACGATGATGATGACGCATCAGAAGAGGCTCCGCCGCGGCGCAGGAAGGCTGCTGCGCCTGCTCGAACGCGGGCCAGGCGCAGCACTCGCAGTAGCAAGTCGGTGGGTCCAGTTGATCTGGGGATGTGGGCCCCGGGGGAAAGAGGAAGCCGCCTTGGATCCCTACGATTCTATTTGAAAAGAAAATCTAGATCTAGCGACGGAAGGCGACTTGCATCGTTTGCTGCCGTGCGGCAGCTGCCAGCCGCGGTGCGAAGTCGCATGTCGCTTGTTTTGCTGAGGCGGTGCACACTATTGCAGCATTATATCGGTTATGGAAGCTAATGATCCACTCCCACGCCCTTCCTTCGCTCTCCTCACCGCCTGCGCTTGGCCACATATCGCTTGAGCAGTACAAGGACGAGTCAGATGAGGATGTAGACATGAATGACGACGACGACGAGGAGGAGGAGGAGGAGGAAGACGATGACGACGACGATGCCGGCGACGATGATGAGGATGATGATGAGGATGAGGAAGACGGCGGTGATGAGGACGATGATGACGAGGAGGACTATGCGCCGCGGAAGCGGCGGTCGCGGGCAATGTCAGCTTCGGCAGCGGCGCGGCCTCGGCGGCAGGCGGCTCAGCAGGCGAAAGCACGGCTCAGGGTAGGGGTAGGGGTAGGGTAGCATGCCAACCTGTCTGCATCCTCAGCGGCGACCCACCTGCACTGGAGCCGCCGTACAGTGTCGTACAGTGGCACGTGTGATGTTACAGCGGGTCACAGCCGAGCTGCAGAGCGGCAAAACAGGCCGCGAGACAATGCCGAATTGCGGTACTTGGCTATGATAGTGGCGCTGGTTGCCACCGCGGGGGCCACCGCGCGTTTCCAGAATGCACTGCAGATTTTCTCTCTCCAGCTCTGTGCGCGAGCGTGTGTTTGGTGTGTTTTGGTGACCTCCTCCCCCGCAGCAGGACAGCGTTGAGGATGACGATGAGGAGATAGCGCGAGCTATTGACCGGCAGATTAACGGGTTGAGAGCTCGTCCACGCAGGGTGAGAGTGTGTGTGCTTACGCGGTGAGGAATTGGGACATCATTAAAAATTAGTTTGGGCGTGTTTTTTTGGGGGGAGGTAAGGGTGGTTGTCAAGGGGGAAAAGGCAAGGAGGAGCGCTTTGAGAGCTTTGACGGAGTGGCCACTCTGTGGCTGCTTTGTGTGGCTCCGTTGGATCTTCTTTGAGTCTTTCGCTTGCGGCGGTCACTCGACTGGGTTGCGCCTACCTGCGAAAATAGGTGCCTGCACACGCATGCGAGCATGCAGAGGCGTATGCGCGCGGGAAAGGGATCTTTCTCTGGAGCCCTAACGTGGGTTACGACAGCCCAATCCCCAAAGGGTGCTGATTCGTGTTCGTCCTTTACCACCGCTAAGCAGCAACAACGCAACAACATCGGGAGTAGAAGCAGAAGACGGGTGACGGGTTACATCTGCATCCCATGAAATATGCATACAACGGACTGCTTGGTCAGTGGTACGGCATCACCGGGCCAGCAACGGTGCACGGGTGGCACAAGTGCTGGGTTGCGTTTGTTGGGCTAACGTTTCATGGCATGAAATGGTCATGATTATGACACATTGCTGTCATGGCACGTAGGCCTCTGTGACGGCGTTTGAGGAGCGAGCGACGAGTCCCCGCGCCGGGGGCCGGCGAGGGGGGTCGTCATCAAGACAGAGCTCCGCGCCGCCAGCTGGCGGCCGGTCAAGTAGCGGCAGCCGCCGCCGCGCGCCGCCGTGCCGTACCAGCCAACGCAGCGTCGCCAAGGTGGTGTCGTACGCGGAGAGTGACGACGATGATGACGACGATGAGGGCGGCGGCGGCGGCGGGGGTGGCCGTGGTGGCGGGCGGGGTGGAGGTGGCGGCAAGGCGAAGGAGGCTCTGTCGGCGTTTGAGGACCCCGACGAGGATGAGGTGGAGGATGAAATTGACAAGGTCCTGGCGCACAGGTACAGAGAACTTAAGGGACGGAGGGTTGCGGGGCGGGGGGGGTGCGTTGTGCGTTGTGTGTTGTGGTAGCAGGGATGTCCTTCCGTGGCGTTACTGGGACAACCATGCACATGCACATGCACATGCACCTCCCTTTGAGCTGGGGGCACCGAGTCCCCGCACTTCGAGTCCCCTCCCCTCCCTTGGGCCTCGTGTGCGGTTCTTCCTGGACGTGGGAAACACATATCATGTCGTACCTTGTCGGACCACGTCGTATGCTTGTGCATGCAGGGAGTCTGAGACGCTGTCCCCCGTGGCCGGTGACCCTTGGGCCAGTCGGGAGTTTTATATCAAGTGGAAGCGTTACAGCTACATCCACTGCAGCTGGGACAGCCGGGCGGTTCTGGAGCATCTGCGGGGCTACAAGCGGGTGCTCATTTACATCAAAAGGGTGAGGAAATACGGGTTAATTGAGACAGACGGACTGACGGACAAACAGTTGGATAGGACAGTGTGCACCCCCCGGCCCAATCCCTTCCCCCTCCCCCACCTCCGGTCCACGCTGGGCATCTGCACTCGCGCCAGGGCATACCGTTTGCCAATTCCCTTGAAATGGCAAGTACCCGCGCTAGCCTCCAAACCTTTTACCCCTCCCCTTAAACTGGGGTTTTGTCAGCTTGGAGCTTTGGACGCCAAGAGCTCATTCCTTGTTTCCTTGCATATGGTGCATGTTTCCCTTGCCTATGTATTCCTTTAGGGTTTCTTACACGTCCACATGACCCCCCCCCTTCTGTTTTACCCCTCCAGGTTGATGATGTCGAGGAGGGCCGTCGTGGATTCAGTCGTGAGGAGCAGGAGATGCAGGACGTGGAGAGGGAGATGGAGGCGCAGCTCAACCAGCAACACATGCAGGTATAGGGGAGGGGAGGGGAGGTGGTTCAACCAGGGGGGAATCAGGGGGGGGGTGAGGGAGTGCGAAGGAAGGTGGAGGGGAGAGCTAGAGGAAAGAACATAAGCCCTGGGATGGCTTCCCCCCCCCCCCCCGGCTGTGAAATGGCGATGAGTGCCCAAGGTGGTGCGGTGGCCGTGGGGCATAGTAGTGGTGAAAGAAGCGGAGGAGGAATAGGAGGAGGAGGAGGTTGGTGCGGATTGTTTGGTGACAGCAGAAGAGTGTGCCGCGGCGTAAATGTCGCTTGAGGGCTTCAGCTGAAAAGGTGCACAGCTAGGGGTGCGCGGACTGGCAACGGGCGGGGTGGGGTGGCTCCCACCCCTTCATAGTGTCATCAGCTGTTTGGCTGCTTTACTGGACCTCATCCCCCAGAACAACCCACGCCATTTACACCTCACCCAACCCACCTCAGACCTCACCAAACCCACCTCACCCAGCCCAATCCACCTCATCCCCGCACTCAATTTATCGCAGGTTGAGCGGGTCCTGGCTGAGAAGCAGGCCTGTGTGTATTGCTCTCCCCCGGACGAGAAGGAGGATGAGGCGGAGGGGGCCCGGGGCAGTGTGGGGCCCCCCGGACAGCGACGTAGGGAGCTGGAGGCGGCGGATGTGGAGATGGTCAACGTCACCAAGTACCTGGTCAAATGGGAGGGACTGCCGTACGCGGAATGCACCTGGGAGACGGTCAATGACGTCATCAAAGCAGGTAGGTAGGCGGGAGGTGCTGCGGGGGGTGGGTGGGTGGGCAGGGAGTTGGGGAGGGAAGGCGGGCCAGGTGTGGGTTTGCCACGGGGCCTCACCCCAGGTGAACCTCAGCCTCAGCGTCAGCACAAGAAGGGGCAGGCGGAGGTGGGGGGAAGGGATGGGACCCAAGAGGGCAACCAAGGGAACCTCAACCCCACCTCCCCGGGGTGCCGCTCCTTCCCCCCTTCTGCGCCTCCATCAGCCTGTGCTGCTACGACGTCTTGTCGTTGCCTGCACTTGTACTGCTGTACTAACATTTTATAGAACTTTCACTGACTGCAGATATTTAAATGAAGCAATCCGGCCCGTTTTGTATGTATGTCTGTACGTTGTGTGTGTAATGTGTGTAATAACCGGCATCGCAGGCGGCAGCACCCAGATCGATTTGTACCTGCAACGGGAGCAGCGGCTGCTGGAGCCGGGTCGCTCTGTGGACGTGGCTCGCAAGCAGTTCAAGATCAAGGGCACACGGGCCTTGGAGAAGCAGCCCGAGTACCTGAGAGGTGGGTGATTGGGGGCGTGTGAGGGGGCGCTGCGTCCGGGGGGAAGGGACGGAAGGAAGGGGGGGGGGGCGGGAGTCTATCCGGGGCGAGCAAGGCAGGGGGCATGCCAGCGGGAGAGGAGAGCAGCAAGTCTTGAGGACATGTCACTTTACCGTGGTCTGTGGCACAAGGGCAATGTGGGTGATATGTATGTGGCGGTGTGGTAAAGTTTCCTGACTTTACCCTCAACCTCACCCTCACCTTTGCATTAGGTTTTTAGATTGATAATCCTTTCCCCATCCCCCCCTTCACGTCCCGTTCACCCTGGTCCCCATTTGCTGTCCTGCCCCACGTTGACTGCCCTCTTTCCCTCCCCCCATCCCTTCCCCTCTGCTTGTCGATATAAAATGTCCTTCACGTCATGGGTCTTTACTTGCGGAACCATGGGTCGCTCGCTGACTTCATCGGTTAGGACTCACTCCCTAGGGGCAGTTTCGAACTTTGGAGCTGGCAGCTCGTTAGTGATTTCCTTGATTTGAATCAATCCCCGCCCTCACAGCCCTCACTCCCCCCCCATTCCTCCCCATGGCCCTCCCCGACCCCGCAGGCGGCACTCTCCGCGACTACCAGATGGAAAGCCTTAACTGGATGATCTACAGCTGGTCGGAGAACCGGAACATCATTCTGGCGGATGAGATGGGGCTGGGGAAGACAGTGCAGGTGGGGGGGGTCGGGGTCGGGGTCGGGGGGAATGGAGGGGTGGAGGGGCTGTGTGAATGCTGTATGGATGGGCCCATGGGTCACGGTATGTATGTATGTGTTGATGTGGTGTGATGTGTTGGGGTTGCGGGGCCCGGTCCCCCTATCACCCCTAATGCCCCCCTATCACCCCACCTCGTTTCGCAATCTAGCTGGCCACATCGCCGCCATGACTACTATTCAAGCCATTACTGGTCAGTAACCCACAAAGATATAACCTGCAGCATCTGTGTCTAATCCTGGAGTATCCGTGGATCTCTGGTATCTGTTTTAAGCGTCAGTGGTTCGTCGTACCACCTCACCCCATCCCACTTCTTTGGGGCAGTACCTGGAGGGACTGTGAGCAGTTTGCGCCGTTGCGCTGGACTCGTACGGCAGTCGGTGCTTGGGGCGGATGTACGGCAGAGGGAACTTAAAGTACTGCAGAACGTACTGTGTGCGTAACGCCAATTGTTGGTAGGAAACGTCATACGTTGCGGGGACGAAAAACGTTCGTTTCCCACCCTATCAACTGTCTCTTTCCCCTCATCTAGCCGTCATCCAACAACCCCACCGCAAGCGGCCATACATCGTACATCAGCGCGAACGAGTAAATTCCCGTCCGTGAAAAAAGAAAAAAGAAATAAACCTCTGAAAGGGTGACGTAGAATTCACAAGAGAAGCACCACCATCACCACCACCCCCACGTGGTCGGGTGGCTGCCATCAACGCCACCCGCCATTCGCACGCTCCCACTCTGCAGCACTCTGCAACATTGCGGCCCCGCGGTCCTCCTTTGACTTATGCATGACCTGATCTCCGTCCCCACCCACCCACCCACCCCAGCACACCACCACACACACAGCCACACACACAGCCACACGCACATACAGCCACCCTACAGTTCCGCAGTGTGTGTCCTTCGCCTGGCCGCCGTTTGGGTGTGTTTGTCCTTGTCCTTTTCTAGCCCCCACCCCACCCCACCCCACCCCTCTGCTCTCTCCCCCTTCTCCACCCCCCCACCCCGCAGTGTGTGTCCTTCGTGGGCTACCTGGCTGAGGCGCTCCAGATCCGCGGCCCCTTCCTGGTGGTGGTGCCGCTGTCCACCGTGCCCAACTGGATACGGGAGTTCAGGCGCTGGGTGCCCTTTGTCAACGCGGTGGTGTACGTGGGGGACTCCCGGTCGCGGGAGGTGCTGCGAGCCTACGAGTGCGACCCGGCATCCCATCACAAGTCCAGTAGACCGCACAAGTTTGAGGTGCTGCTGACCACGTATGAGCTTATATTGAAAGACGCGCAGGTGCGAGTAGGGGAGGGGAGGGGGAGGGGGAGAGGCGAAAGCTGGACCCCCTGATAAAATCCGCTGCTTGTGCAGCTGCTACTGCTGCTGCTACTGCCATTCCGCTGCTCCGGCTGATGCCCATTCTGTTGCTCTACGTGTATTCCCCCCAATCTGCATCTTGCTGACGTAAATAACCGCCTTTCCGTCATGGCTACGTGCATACCTACGTACAGATATTGTCCCGTATTAAGTGGGCTTATCTGCTGGTGGACGAGGCGCACCGACTTAAAAACGCCGAGTCGGCGCTGTACCAGGTGAGAGTGAGAGTGTGTGTTGGAGGGGAAAGGTGGGGGGAAACAAGGTCTATGTGCGTGTGTGTCTGTGTGCATGTATGTTTCTGCGCTTTGGGATCAATTAGTAATTTACGCTGTGCTTGTCTCTGGTCTTTTCATTGAACATAACACCCCCCCTGCCTACACCCACTCGAGCGGTTTCGTTTCTCCTTTTTCTGGACTCAACCTCCCGCCTTTGTCACCTCGTGCAAAATGTACGATTTGTCGTACAGGAGCTGATGGAATGGCATTTCAAGAACAAACTGTTGGTGACGGGCACTCCCCTTCAGAACAGCCTCAAGGAGCTCTGGGCGCTGCTGCACTTCCTGGACCCGGACAAGTTCCCCACCTGCGAGCGATTCGAGGCGGAATATTCGCTGGAGACGGTGAGGGGGACGAGAGAGACAGCGTTTGGAGGTGGCGGGGTGACTGAGTGGTCAGTCGGACCGGCTCTTGAACGCCCTGTCTGTTTAAGTTGATGTTCGTGTTGTCTCGGTTCCCTGTGGCTTTCTTTCTAGCTTTTTCTAGGTTTTTCCGCAAGCGATTGTTTTTTTTTACTTTTTTTTCCTGTTTTGGTGTTAGTGTGTGTCGTGTTGTGTGTGCTGTGTTGGCGTGTTGTGTCGTTTGTGCTTCGGTTCTCGCCAGGGCCCGCCTTGCCTTGCCTTGCCTTGCCTTGCCCTGCCTTGCAGCTAGATAGCAGCACCCCGCCGGCCGCCCTTAGCCTTCAAAAGGGGGCCCCGCCGGCCCCGGTCCCCACCTTTATACTACTAATCACCCCGCTTCCCTCCACCCACACCCCAAGCCCCCACCCGCCCATCGCCTTTGTTCCTTCCCGCCGCCTCTGGATGTGTTTGTTTTTCCACCATCGATTATTGTTGTTGTTGACGTTGACGTTGACGTTATCGTCGACCCGCAGGCTGACAGCGTGTCGGGGTTGCATGGCGTGTTGCGGCCCCACCTGCTTCGCCGTGTGATCAAAGACGTGGAGAAGTCCCTGCCGCCCAAGAACGAGCGCATCCTCAGAGTGGACATGACGCCGCTGCAGAAGCAGTACTACAAGTGGATTCTCACGCGGAACTTCAAGGAGCTCAACAAGGGTTCGTTGGGTGGGGGGGAAGGGGGGGAAAGAGGGGGAGGGGAGGGGAGGGGGATTGGGGGGCACTGGGGGGATAGGTGGATTAGGTAGGAGGGAGAGGTATTATGTGGAAAAGTTGAAAAGCTAAAAACAAAAATGGCCAAGTCCGCACGGCCTTGACCTATAGTGCTGCTTAGAAGGGATGTTGCTGCTGCCGAACCAGAGATGTCGTAGCGAGGGGGGGTAGGGAAGGAGGGGGGGAGATCAGATGGGAGATTGGGGAATTGTGGTAAAAGGGTATTTTTTTGAGAGGGTTTTCCAGCGCCTGATGGTAGGTCTTTTTCGTGTCGTAATAAACCCAACAACAAGCTCCCATAATTTAAAAAGTATTAAATTTTTTATTAACCGAAATTGATCTCGAAGTCAAGCCTCCGTATCGCCGCACACCCAATTACGGTCTCCTCCACATCCACTAAACCCACACACCGCGAGATACACATACAGACAAACACAGACGCACACATACAGACACACACGCAGACACACGCACACACACACACACAGACGGTGTGTATTTATTTCCCACTCCCACTCGGTTCAGGCTCCCACGGCGGCGGCCACGTGTCCCTCCTCAACATCATTGGCGAGCTCAAGAAGTGCTGCAACCACCCTTTTCTGTTCGAGTCCGCGGAGGAGAACTACCGGGGCTCGGAGGACGACAAGTCGGCGGTGGACCGACTGATCGTAACCAGCGGCAAGATGGTGCTGCTGGACAAGCTGCTCAGGCGACTGAAACAGACGGGGCACAGGGTGCTCATTTTCTCGCAGGCAGGGGCACACGGGGTGGATTGGGGATTTTGGGGGGAGAGGGGGAAAACGTAGTGGGGAAGCCGGGGGTTCGAGGGTTTTAGATTTTTTCCCCTGGGTTTTAGGGTTTTAGGACGGCAGGCGAGAGGAATCTAAGGGATAGGAGCCTGGGGTAAGGCGCGAGCTAAACCGTGTGTGTTTGCGGCTCTCGGCTGCTTAGGAGGGGGCAGAGGCCCCTCTAGCGCCCCGCTCCCGTCCGCGGGAGAGAGGAGCTTAGGCGGTCTTTCCGTTGGGGCTGGGCAGCAGCCCCTGGCCAGTGTCGTCAGGCCTAACCTTCACACACCCGAACACGCACACACTCATGTGATATGCACACAGTGGACCCCCCTTCCACACCCAAATCCAAACTCGCAGATGGTCCGCGTGTTGGACATCATCAGCGACTACATGCGGCACCGCGGGTTCACCCACCAGCGCCTGGACGGCTCCACCCCCGCAGCCGCCCGCCACGCGGCCATGGAGCACTTCAACCGGCCGGAGTCACCCGACTTTGCCTTTCTGCTGTCCACTCGCGCCGGTGGTCTGGGCATCAACCTGGCCACCGCCGACACCGTCATCATCTTTGACAGCGACTGGAACCCGCAGAACGACCTGCAGGCCATGTCGCGAGCGCACCGCATCGGACAAACTGAGACCGTCAACATTTACCGGTAAGAAAAACAGTAGTAGCAGTACAGCAGTAGCAGTACAAGCAGTAGCAGTAGCAGGAATATAGGTAGTGGTAGCACTATACCTCCACCCTTCACCCAAACCACATACACAAACACATACACACATCCGCGCACGTTTGTCGCTCAGCAACTTGCACGGAACATCACACACCTGTTGTAACACAACGAACTCGTACGACGCCTGAAACCCGCGTCCCCCCGCCCCTCCCTGCCCCGCCCCCCCCCCCCCCCCCGCCCCCCACTTCTAAATCCCCAGCTTCGTGACCAGCGGCAGTGTGGAGGAGGACATCCTGGAGCGAGCCAAACGTAAGATGGTGTTGGACCACCTGGTGATTCAGCGCATGGACACATCGGGTCGTACCATTTTGGATCCGGCGGCGGGGAAGGCGGGCGCGAGTGCCAAGCAGATGTTTGGGAAGGACGAGTTGGCGGCCATTCTGAGGTTTGGTGCGGAGGACCTCTTCAAGCAGGCCCCGGAGGTGGGTGGGACCCGATGGGGGAGATGGAGGGGAAGGTGGGGTTGGGGGAAATTAGGGGGGGGTGTATGGGGTGGGTGAGAGTTGGTGTGTATGTGTGTGTGGAGTTTTGTAGAGGTGGGTGAGTCTCGGGAATCCTCCCGAGATTGTCCTTTTTTGGCGTTGTTGTATTATTAGGTGCCACCCAGGGTTAATATTGTCTATTATCATCTTTACCTTCTTCTCTGCCTGCCGCATTCCCGTTTTGTTGTAGGCTCTGGCGCTTGGGGTTCTGCTATAGACGTCGGCCGTTTTGATTTCGAGTGACTTGCGTTTGTGCGTCTTGTGCGTCTTTGTTTTTGCTCTTGTAACGGTTGCGTCTATTTCCCTTTGTCTATTTCCTTCCACAACCACTTTCGGATTCTTGGAGCTCCTCGACTTCCTTGACCTTCTGAATGAAGCTGCTGTGCAACCACCACCTGCTGTGCAACCACCACCTGCTGTGCAACCACCACCTGCTGTGCAGGACGACTCAAATGCCGCTGAGCGAGTTCGTTCCGCGCTTTACGAAGACGACATTGACGCCATATTGGAGCGTGCCGAGGTGGTGGACACCCGCGCCCTGGCGGCGGCAGGGGCGGAGGAGAACGCGGCGGCGGCGGCGGAGCTGCTGTCCTCCTTCAACGTGGCCACCTTCAAGAACGAGGAGGACGATGCGGCGTTCTGGTCCAAGCTCATTCCGCCTTCGGAGCGGCCCAAGGAGGAGGAGGTAAGGGGTGTGTGAGGGCGTGGGGTGAGGGAGTAGTGCTAAAAGGGGGGAAAAGGGGGAGTGTGTGTGATATGAGAGTTAATCGGGGCGATTGGAGTGGCGGGAGAGGTCACGCTGGATTGGTGAGCCTGGGGTTGGGCGAGGGGTTTTCGGGTTTTAGGAGGTGAGACACGTGTATGCAAGGGAATGGGTTTTAGAGTTTTTAGGTCTTATTTACCTTTTATTGTTCTGCATCTTCCCTTTTCGTTCACTTTAAGCGTATCTATCCACTCTTGACGTATCATCCGCCCGCCGCCGGGTGATTCCCGGTGGTTACTCTTCTCCAGGAGGACCTGTTGCCTAGGTCGGCTCGCCGCGCGCTGGCGGCCGACTCGGACGATGATAACGGCGGTGGTGGTGGTGCTGGTGGCGGCGGGGCCGGCGGGCCGGGGGGATTAGGTGGTCGTAGGGCGGGGGGAGGGGCCGGTGGCGGGGGGAGGGGGGGTCGTGGAGGTGGAGGGGCTCGTGGCGGCGGCGGCGGTCGCTCCAAGCCCGGAGCCGCTTCCGGTGGCTTGGAGCCGGGCCCGCCTGTGGACGGTGCTGCTCTGCGCGTGGACGAATGGATTGTGGAGGTGGATAAGGAGGGGATACCGCTGATGAAGGTACGGATTGGGGTGGGTTGAAAGTGATGTGGGGGGATGCGAGTATGTGCGTTTGTGTATGCTTTGTCTGGTACATGGTTTGTACTGCTTGTACGGTAACTTCCCCCCTTCCCCCTGGTTCCTCCTCTCCTGTTGCAGTTGCTTCAACATCTCAACCCCCCTAGCCCAACTAACAAAGTAACGAACCAACCGGCCAACGAACCGCAGGAGGATGGCAGTGAGCCTGAGTCGCGTAGCCTGAGTCGCCGGGACGCGGCCGCTTTTGTACGTGCCGTACGGCGGTACGGCCGTCGCGAGCGCCTTGCTGACGTGGCTTCCGAGGTTGGTCGCTCCCTTGAGGAGTCTAGCGCGGGTCAGCGGCTGTCGCTGTGGCACTCGCTGATGGACGGGTGCAGGGCGGCGGTGCAGAGGACCACGGAGGAGCTCAAGGAGGATGCCAAGGTGGGGTTTGGCGGGGTGGGTTGGGGTGGGGGGTGGGGTGGGGATAGGGGGTGGGGATGGGGGTGGGGGTGGGGATGGGGTGTGTGTGTGGAAGCACCTCTCTTGTCGTGCTTTGGACTTGCAGACGCATTCTTCCTCTGTTGACCTCGTCCTCCTCCTCCGATGTCTTCCACCGCCTGATGTTTTCCAGTCTTACGTTTTCCCGCCGCCCCAACATTGTGATGCACCTTCCTCTCTCCGCTATTGCTGCTGCTGATCGGCTGCTCGGCTGCTCGGCTGCTGGCCATCCCCTGATGATGCTGGTGGTGGTGTGTTGGCGGGAGGGGGTGCAGGACGCCATTTTGGATTTCTTTGGCGTGAGTGTGAAGGCCGCCGAGCTGCTCGCTGTGTGCTCCTGCTTGCGGCTGCTGGCTAAGAAGGTGGCGGCGGCCCGGGAGCCCGCGGTGCAGCACTTCCGACTGGACGCCACCAGCCAGCTGACTGTACCGAAATGGGGGAAGGTGGGTTACTGGGTCGGGGGGGGGAGGTGTGTATGTGCGTGTGTGTGTGTGTGTGTGTGTTTTGGGGGAGGGGTGGAAAGGGTATGGTGATTTAGTGGTAGTATGGGGGGGGGGGCGGGGGGCTCGCGCGGCAGCTTTGTCGTCAGAGGGGTGGGAGTACTACACCGCACCACGTGAATATACTCGGCGTACGGCGTTTACAAGAGCACCATAATGTTTTCCTTTAACTTGCCGCGATTGATTGATTATGGCGGTTTGTGTGATGGCTTTCGCCTTGCCGGGGCCGCAGCCGCCGTGGCGCCGTTTTCCCTCCTTTCCTCCTTTCCTCCTGAGCGATAACCCTTGCTTTGGCCCCCGTGTGGTTGACCCCCCCCCCTCCCCCCTCCGCTCACAGACCATCAACTGGACCAGCCGTGAGGACGCCCTGTTGCTGCTGGGGGTGCACTTGTACGGCATGGGTCACTGGGATCGCGTGGCGGCGGATGAGGCGCTTCGACCCCACCTGGCGGATAAGCTGGCGGGGGCGGTGGGCGGCGCGGCGGCGGCACGGGAGCGGGAGCGGGACGATGCGGCGGCGGGAAAGGACGGCATGGGCATCGGCTTGCCGAAGGGTGAGCGCGTGAGCACATCGCTACTGCTCACCCACCACCACCATCACCACCACCACCACCACCACCAACAACAACAACACTACAACCCTTGCAACTGCCTTGTGCCCCATCATCTTAACTGCCTTTATCGCCACAGCTCCCTGTGCTCCGTAAGCGCCTACGCTTTTCATGCCGTACGTCGGCACTTGTTTCTTTGCCTTTTGCATAATGTGAATCCCCTGCTTTCAACACCCTCCTTGACAAGGTGTTGCGAACAGCCTGATGGCGCACTTGCCTGGTGTCCGTCCCCACAACCTGCCCCCTGTTCCCGTACTCAGCTTCGCATCTGGAGACCCGCGCTCTGGGGCTGCTCAGGAAGATGCATGCGGTACACAAGGCAGCCACTGCACCGCCCGTAAGGCGGCCAGCGGCTGGGGCAGCCGCAAGGAAAAAAGGAATCGCAGCGGCGGCGGTGGCCGCAGCCGCCGGAGGCAGCGGCGGCGGCGGTGCCGGAGGCGCCCAGGCGCCCGTCCATCCGCCGCCACCGCACGATCGTGACGGCGGCCGAGCGGACGGCGCCACGGCGGCTGGAGTAGTGCCGGGACCTGTACGAGAACGGGAGCGGGAGCTTCCGCCCGCACTTGCGCCGCCGGCGGCAGCTGCGCCAGCAGCGGGTCGGGATCCATGTGCTGTCGGCGTGGTGAATGGTGCCGCCGCCGCTAGCGCTCCGGGAGGGGCAGCAGCGGGGGGGGGTGCAGGGGGAGGAGCTGGAGGTCATGCGGCCGGCGGCAAGCGGAAGGCCGGGGGAGGCAGCGTGGCCGCCGCCGACGCGGCTGCACCGGGCGGGGCAGCGGCGGCCGCGGGGCCGTCGGAGAAGCGGCCGCGAATGGACGCCCGAGTGGGCGTATCCGCGGAGCCCAAGGCGGTAACGACGGCGGCGAATACGGCAGCGGCGGCGCCTGCTGCAGGTGGGAACCGTGGTGGTGGGCCCCATGCTGGGGAACCCCCGGCCGAGGCCAAATCCTAGGTGTCCTAAGCTCCAGGAGGGAGGGGTCGCATAATAGTGGGTAGTTGTAGAACTGCGTGGCTGAATGAGCGTGCTTCACCTACAGACACTGCGCCACCGCATGGCCTTGCGGGTGGGGAAGGTATTGCTTTTAGTGTTGGGCAGCGTAGAAATATCACTCTGTGTGAGTTACCATATCTATTTCCTTCCCGCCTGCCCCGGCCCCCTAGACGGACCCGTGGGTCGCGAGGAGCTCAAGACGCTCCTTGAGCCCGCCATGTCCGATATCCGCAAGCTGCGGAAGCTGCAGGACGGGTCTATTACGGACAAGTCTGTCATTGTGCAGAACACCAAGCTCTATCTGACGGCCATCGGGGGCCACATAGAGCGGGTCATGTCGGTGAGGGGACCCAACGTGAGCAAGAAGCTGTGGGACCTAGCGGCCCGCAACATTGGCAACGGCAAGACGGGTGCGGAGCTTCGGCAACTGCACACCCGCATCCAGCAATCCCAACAGCAGCAGCAGTCGGCCCAGCCACAGCCGCAGAAGCACCAGCAGCAGCAGAAGCCGCCACCTCCGCATTCCGGGCAGGTTGAGCTGCGATCGCCGCGGCATGAGCGGGAGGCAGCGGCGGCAGCGACGCAAGGGGGACCCGGACTCAGGTCGCCGAAGCCGAAGCCGAAGGCGTCGCCGCCGGCGGTGCCGTCCGCTGCGCCGCCTCTGTCCCAAAGACCATCGGCGTCTCGATCCGTGGCCGTCAGTACGACACCATTGCCGCCATTGCCGCCGCTGTCTGGGACAGCAGCGGCAGCACATCCATCACCACCGCCGCCACCACATCCGCCCCAGGGCTATCAGGCATCTCGGCGGCATCCTTCGGAGCCGCTTGCAACTTCACACCATGCAGTCGTGGCAGCAGCAGCAGCAGCAGTAGCACCCGCTGGGCCCACCATGCACCATCGGCAACACTCCGCCTCGCCGCCGGGGCCTGCATCTCCTCTCAGCCCTCCGCCCCCAGCGCTCCCGCCGCCCATGCCTCCACCAGCCGCGCCCCCGCCACCAGCGCCGCCGCCGCTGCCACCCATGCCACCACCTGCACCGCCGCCGCCCTTGCCACTGCCCATACCACCGCCCGCACCACCGCCTGGGGGGCCCCCACCGCTGCATCCCTCGTACCACCCTCATCTCCATCGTCACCCTCACCATCATCACCAGCACCTCCATGCTCATCACCACAACTTCAACCACCTCCACCCGCCTACCTCGCGGGTGCCCCCGCCGCAGCTGCTGCTGCCAGGCGACATGGCAATACAGTTCCCCGGGCTGGGGTCAGGACTTAGTAGCCAGGCAGGGGAGCCTTCCAGCGGTGGGGACCTTTGTCACGTGTCGCCGCCTGGCCCATGTTTTGGTGCCGGTGGCGGCGCTGTCTCACCCCCCGTGACCCGCTGGCCGCCGGAGTTGTCGCCGACCGCCATTGCCGTGGCGGCACCATCAGCATCAACAGCAGTGGGGACAACGGCAGTGGCAGGCGTGGATATGCCGCAGGAGCTGGGGTTTCACACGTTGCCGCCGTCGCTGCCACCGCAGCAGCCGGCACCACAGCCACCACCGCCGCCACAGCAGCAGCAGCCGCAGATCGCGTCGCCGCCTGGATTACGGGATGCCGTGGGCGGCAGCGGTGGGGAGTGTGGCGGGATGGAGCTGTCGCCGCGGGACTGCCGTGGCGGCGGCGTTAGCGCTGGCGGCCAGCCCCCGCCGCCGCCGCAGCGCAACAGCGCTGAAGCCCCGGACACGCGTTGGGATCGAGATCCACGGGATCCACGTGATCGAGACAGGGGTAGGGATCGAGATCGGGATCGAGATCCACGGGATGGTCGAGGATCCGACCCCGGGCGATCCGCCCACCACGAAGACCGGGATCGAGATCGCGGCGGCGGCAGCAGCGGTGGCGGCGGCGGCAACGGTGGTGGCGCACGAGAGTGGCGGGAACGGGAGCGGGATCGTCGTACGAGCCGGAGCCGCAGCCGCGAACGGGAACGGGAACGAGATTTTCGATCTAGAGAGTACGACAGGGATCGAGACGGGCGAGATCCACCACGCGATCGTCGTGATCGTGACGTCAGAGATCGCGACCGAGACCAACGTCGTGACCCACGGGACCGCGATTGGGACCGTGACCGGGATCGGGACCGAGATACGGCCCGTGGGCGGGACAACCGCGACCACCGAGAGTTCGACCGCGACCGCGACCGTGGGCGGCCCCTTCGCGGCGCTCATTATGAGGACCGAGGCCGAGATTATGGCGGCGACCGCGCGCGCGACGTCCGTGACCGCAGCCGGGAGAGGGAGCGGGAGCGTCGGGACCGGAGTCGGAGTCGTAGCCGGGATCGGAGATGCCGCAGCCGCAGCCGAAGCAGGGGGCGGGAGCGCGGTCGAGGTGAGCGGGAGCGGGACCGAATCAGGCGGAGCCGCAGTACCAGCAGGGATCGGTTCGACCGGGAGCGGGAGCGGGAGAGAGACGAACCCGCGGGTCGAAGCGGTGGCGGCGGCGGCAATGGACTGTCCCGAGGCGCTTCCTTTGGGCCCACTGGCGGCGGCGGTGGACATGGCGGCTTGGCTGGTGGGGGTCCGGGCCTGCGCGGCGGCGGCGGCAGCAGTGGCGGCGCACTGGCGGCGGGGGCGCTGGCCTCTGGGCCGACTCCCCTCGGGGACAACGCTAGTGTACCGCCGGGCAGTCATCTTGGGGGCGGCGGTGTGGCAGCTGCGCCTCTACCGCCACCTCAGACGTTGCCCCCACCGCCGCCACCCTCATCTGCGGCCGCCCCACCCGGGCTGAGCTGATGAGCTGTCTAGGCTGTACGGAACTCCGAGTGGGTGACCGGCCCCTAGCTTGCCAGAGAGCTGGTGGCTTGTTGGCCATGTCCCAGCTTGTCGGCTGGCTGGCTACCTGTTCTGGTGGCGTAAGGGTGGACCCGGCAGGGGCCGGCTTAGCGGAGCAGGTTGTGGCAGTGGCGGTGGCAGTGGTGGTGTAGTGGGAAGGTCGTTGGGGACAGTATGCACGCGGTGGACATTCACGCGCAACAAGTTGTGGCTGAACAGGCCCCTGCCGTGGGTAGGAAGTAGATGTCAAGGATGTCGGGGCTCGCGCAGAGGGTTGAAGAGAGAACGATGGTGTACTGCGTTGTGAAGCGTTGGAAATAGGGATAGGGAGGGTCGTACTCGGATAATACGGGGTGGTTTCGGTACATGATGAAGCGCTGTCCGGCTGTACGGGAGAATTCTTGGGTCTCGAGTAAGGATAAGGAGGCAGACAGCAGATGCCCTGATGGCATGATATCGGAAGAGGACGTCCTTACGTTCCTTTTTAAAGTTGTGGCCCTGGAAGGCGGGTCCGCCTCAATTAGGGGGCCCATCCCGAATGGCAGTTTCTTGTTGCGCTCTTGCATACCCTTTTTGCCCCATGCCCCGTGCTGCGTGAACCAATAATTAAGCCCCAGCAAAGGGCATCCCCTTGCAGCACTGACGATGTCCGTGTGGGATGTGTTTCGTACGGCACGTGTTTCTCGGCCTTGGATGTGGGGACCCTGACCTTAAGCAGGTTGATCAAGGTCGCCTTGTGCAGGACATATACAGGGGATGAGGACTGGACAATCTGAATGTTGTAGAGCTCTTCCTTTTTAAAACTGAAGTTTGCTTACAGTATTGGTTTGTAGCAATCTTGATGGATTGGAAAGAAATATGCATGGGCGCCCAGGTCGCGTAGATATGCGAAGGTGAAAGGACATTGAGATGTTACATCATCTCGCCTTGCCGTACTGTGGATTTTCCTCGTCTTAAAGCGGATCACTTGTGTTGTGGGCAGGTTTGCAGCGGTCAGATTGTGGCTGGCGGCGAAGTTGTCTAATTCTAGTGGGTTTCTTTACGTCTTTTTGTTTGATCTGTTTTGTTTTTCAGTCGCGACAAGCGGGAAAGGTAGCACGTACTTGCCTGCATCTTCTTATCCGATATAGCTTCTTATAGTGGGGCGAGTGATCCGGACGCAGTGTGTTTGTTGGGATGACAGAGGCGCCTACTTGGGATTGTTCAGGCCTGAAGCATTGCAGCGCGAGCAGAGGGGAGACGAGGAGGAGTTCCAGTCCAGCAGGCGAGCAGCAGTGTCGTGAGCAATCCAGGAAAAGCAAAACACCAGCAGCGGCAGGAGAGGAGCCATATCACATGCCTTGGTCGGTGTGTGTCCCAGCGATTGCGCTCATGGCTACCTGCCCTTTACCGTATTCGGTATGTTGCTGTTGCAAGGCGAGGTTTCGTTACTTTCGTCCATCGCACAGTGCAGGGTGTTCGTTGTTGGTTGTCGGTTAGGAAAGTAGTTCAATGCAGTGTAGTATAAGGGGCCCAAGTACGGATACAGACGCAGGGCAGGGGTGGCTACCTCGTCTAGCGTGGGCTCATCCCTTCGTGTCACGGGGCAGCTGGTGGTTCTGCTGATACATACATGTATAGTGTGAACGGCGATGATGGCAGAGACGAGCCACGCCCCGAGCCTCGCCCCGTTAACACCGATCCACCAACTGCTGTTTCAGCATATGATTTGTGCAAGTCACGGAAATGCACCAGCCGAAACCCGCCGGCATGCTACTCACTTTTCCTATTTTCCTACGCAAAACTCTCGTCATATAGGCTTTATCGGATCCTATATCGATCCTGAAATAGGCAAATGCGGTGATGTCACAACTGTACATCCAACAGGATGGTTGACGCTGCCTAACTTGTTGAACGTACGAGCCGAATCCCCCATCATGAAACACGCACAGATGCGACTCAGGCACTCAGATTCACTGTTGCTAAGCTGCACGCGCCTGCTGATAGGCACACTCACGGGGCAGCGCCAGGAACGAGATACCCTTTCCATATCAATGCTGCTTCAGGACTGGGACCCTTAGGACGACCCCCCACATGTCGCTCACGTCGCTCCTAACCCCATGCCCGCCTTTCAGTGCCTCAGAACCGCACTGCCCCACACCACCACCCAGAACCGCTGCCGGCGCACAACAAACGTCCGACTGACGCAGCTCTGCACTCTAATCTGCGTACATACACGCGCAGCTCCGGAAATACCTCACGGGGTTACCACCATAGCTGGCGTAGCAGCCAGGTTCACTTATCATAGCGCCAGGTTTACGTGGCAGTGGCGCCTTGCCAGTAGCTACATAGGCGGCGTCACCAGCGAAGGAGGGCCTCGTTGCGACAGGCGCCTGGCGTGCTGCAATGCCTACTACCAAACGGCAGTGCGCCAGAATTCAGGTCGGCTATGGAGGGCCCTCCTTGGGTCCGCTGGCTTCAGCACCGCCCTAGGGCCCTACGGAAAAAAGCTACAAGACAAAGCTACATCCCTGCGACTGAAACCCACCCTTATCCTCGTGGATCGCCGTTCCCCGCCGAAAAAAAATAACAAATGATACAGCCAGACGATCCCGCTTGCCTTTCAAGTCAAACTAAGCAGTGGCCATACCCTTCGCCGCGCCGTCCACTTCCATGGGTGCTGCAGCCGCCGCCGGCACCGCAAGAGCTTCCAGGAGGAACGCCTCCGAGTTACCCAGTCCGAGATCCCGTAGCGTCAACCCCGCCCCAGCTGCCTCCGGTCCTATTACCCGCCGCGGCATGCGCGTTACGAGCTGATAGCTGCCGCGGTGCCACCCGCCCGCCCCCCGGCTATCTACAAAGTCAAACAGCGTCTGCACCTGGGTGCCCGCTGCAAAACGCCGAGTGATGCGGGTGCCATCCGGCAACGAGAATGCGCAAGTGGTGACGGCGATGGCCGGCCCTGAAGACGAGGACGACGGCGCCTCTGGCTCTGGAGGAAGAGCAGCTGCTAGCCGTTCGCGCGCCGCTGCTGCCGCGGTGGCGGCTGCCTCCGCCGCTGCAGCCTCCGCCGCCTCTCGAGCTGCTCGCTCCGCTGCCTCCGCTGCCTCGCGTGCCAGCCGCTCCGCTGCCAGCTGGGCCAGGCGCTCCTGCTGTCGGCGCTGCTCTTCCTCCCAGCGGCGCAGGTACTCCTCAGCCTCCAAAGAGGGTACGACATCCGCTGCGATGTCCACGTCAATAACGCTCACCGCATTACTTGGTTGGAGCTCCTGAACCTGACAGCCCGTAAGCGCGGGAGAAATGAACACAAAAAATGGCGATAGGCACAAGGTTCAATGCACGATATGCGATAGCCGTGTGGCCTCCGATTGGCGGCGGACCGTGTTCTCAGCCATATCCGCTTCAACGCCTTAAATATCCGCTTCAACGCCTTAAGCTACGCACCCACAAACCAACCAACAATAAGTACTTACCGTGTACCATATAGCCAAAGCACCATCCCACATTTTGGGCCATGATGCACTCTCTTCATGGCGCACCGGTGCACCATAAGCCCCTCGTAACGGCATGCCCCCCAGTCCTACACCCCTCAAGCAGGCCCCAAATCGCACATCCCCAATTCCTCACCCGCAGCGGCCAGTCTCGACCTCCGTGTACTACCGTGACCCAGTCGCCCTCGCTCAGTGTGCTGTGTCCGAGCAGCTCCTCCTCCAAAGTCTCCCGCAATCCTTCACCCAAAGCCTCGTGAAAGCCATGGGACATGGGCTGTAGCCGCACGTAGGTGCCCTTTTCGAGCCGCCTGTACGACACAATGACGGTGCCGCTCGGTTGCGCGTCTAGACTGCCATACAGGCTATGTACCACCTTGCGCGGCAGCAGTACCGTGCCCTCGGGTGCTGTGAACTCCAGAACGCCAGCGTGTGTGCGACCTGCAGCGGAGTTGGAGGCTGTAGCTGTGGTTGTGGATGTGAACGGGGCTGGAGCCTGTCCCGATCCTGCTGCTGTTGCGGCGGTGGCAGCGGCTGCTGCTGGTAGTGCGACCTGAAAAAGCAGGGCGCCGTTCTTGCTGGCGTCCTGGGCCAGGAGCGCGGAGCCCACTGATGGCGGTAGGATGAGCTGCGGACGGGAGGCGATATGTTTTGTGGATTCGATGCGGATTTGTTGTGGATTTGATGCGTTAAGTCAAGGTTGGGTAGGCAGGAGTTGGGAAAAATCCGTTTTGGGTGTTAACACGCAGAGCAAAAGCCAGGGCCTTGACCCACGGGTCGGATTGCACAACTGGAGTGGCTGCTGCCAAACAAGACAGTGCAAAAAACCCATATGGAGTAAGCTCTCGATGTGTCCAACATCTGTATGTGCATGGGGAAGGGGGAGACCCGTGTTACCTTGTCTTTACTGCGCTTGACTCCCTTTGCCTGGACGACGCTCTCGTCCGCAGGCAGGGCCTGTAGCTCTACACGCAGGAATACACCCTTGTTGTGCTCGCGCTCTTCGAACTCAGCTTCAAGAACCTGTTCAGGAGTGTGGCGGAGTACGGGTTTCCATCTCTGGATGCGTGCTTACTCGCGTGGCCAAGGGTCAACCTCCTTGGGGTCAACCTCCTTGATGTGTAGGGACCAAGTCAACCAGAGGCCAAAGTTGAGAACCAAAGCAAAATTATGCAGAGATTTTAGACTAGCATGCGCTTCATGGCTCTGGTCGTGATACAAGCAACTACAGCCTGGCGTAGACAGATGATGCCCACACACCCGTTCTTCGGCAGCAAGTTGTTCTAAGCGCTTCCGTCTTGCCTCCTCCTCGCGCTCCTGTTCTCGCTTCCTTTGACGTTCTGCAATGATTCTCTCCTTTTCCTGCCGTTGTCGTTCCCGTTCAACCCTAGCTTTCTGTTCAGCCAACAGCCTATTAGCACGCGCATTCAACTCGTGGGAAAACATGTCTAGCTAAACTAGAGACGTAGTCCGCGCCTTCGTAGAAATGGTTTTCGCCTGTGAGATGTTCAGCAAGTAATGATCGCGTTAAGCTTTTTAGTTAACGGTTTCAGGTAGTATACAGATAAGCATGTTGCCTTCACATATTTATGTAAGCGTTGCGACCTCATCAGAGTCTGGCATCACGTAAGCGCAGTACTTTCCAGCAGCATTCATCCTTTATCGGTAACCTCCCAATGGTTACACGTTTTGCTAGTTTGGTAAGCATCACAAACACGTTATGATAAGCTCGTCAGCCCACACCGCCCTGATGTAACACTCGCGACCCATTTCACTGCTCCTGGCTCATGGAACAAGTGTTGCAAAACAAGTGTTGCCGGTTGTCCCAAATACTAATTTGCAAGCACATCTCTTCCCTCCAAAAACTACGCGTTCCTTTTGCCGTCTCCATTTCGGCACAAAACCTAAGGTTACTTCAAGATGGCAGTTGGGAAGGCAGTTACACTGTAACGGGTTTCTTAGCCGTGTTGTCCACTGCAGTCACGCGTCGACTCATCCATATCATCACTTTGACCGTGGGAGCTCTCTGAACCTGGCGCTTCTCGATTCACAATTCGTGTTGCCGCTCCTGCGCTTCTTATGAAGCCTGTGTGTCGAGATTCCCAGCGCTTTTCCTTGGTTGCACGATAAGTGCAATCGACATGCTGGCTGAATTCCCAGGTTACGCCAATTCCGAGATGCCGCATCTGTGACCATCAGCGACACACATTCCCCTCCGATATTACAGTTCCAACCCAGCTAACAATCAGAATTCTGCACGAGCTAAGATGACGATGTTATGAAGTCCTGCGACGTCAAACTTCCCGCCCACAAAAGCCCTGCAGTGCCACCAAGCTGCGCGTCGCTGCGCCCGCGCACATCCGCCCATAGTCCGGACCAGTCAGCGTAGCTGCTGCTGAAAACATGACTTTATCCTCACGCAGCCACGTAAGCCTTGTGCACCTGCCCGACCACGTTCAGCAGCTGGATGGTTTCATCCGCCCCTACTGTCAAGCTAAAATCCGCCGCTGCCAAAGCCTCCAGCGCATCCGCAAGCTTTAGCCCCGGGGTGCCGCGGTCCGACAGGAGCTCCAACTGAGCGCACAGGAGGGGGATATCCAGAACACTTCTAATGACCCTAAACACTGCTGGCAAAAAATACTGGTGCGCCGTGGGACCAAGCACCGAGTCAAGCTCAACTGCTGCGGGTCAAGTAAAGCTCGACTGTTACAGCACAGCCTTACTCTTACTTTGGGATATATGCGTCAATTAGTCGTCGAGCATGAAGGGTTGTGTCGATGGGAACGTTTAGGCGTCACAAGGCAACGACTTTTGACTCTGCGCGCCGCCAAACAGATCGGCAGCAGCAAACCTCGCACAGCAGCAAAAGCCCGCTGCACGCTTTAACAATTCCAAGTGCTGTGCATAGTTCGAGACCCCTTACCTGCAGTTGCTGCAGCACCTGCTGCGCAGCGAACCCCTCAGACACCACTCCGGCAACCTGCCGTTGCAGCCCCGCGAAAGCGCCAGGGGCCTTGCAAGAGTTGCACAGCCCGGTAATGACATCAGCTGGGACCCTGCCGGAGACGTCCAACAACGTCGCCCTGCGGGGGATGGATGGATGCCGTCCCAGCGGGTAGGACATACGGGTAACATAGTGTGCGCGTCTGAAGACCAGATGGGGCGCACGAGGGGTAACTGATGGCCATTCGCAACTCAAGTGGCTAGCAATGAGGCCTTCGGAGCCCCCCCCCTGTACACCACGATTCTAAGAAACGCATGTCATCACACTTAACCAGGGCTCGAAATGCCGTGCTGACTGACATCACCGTTAGTACCTACATGCAGTCGACAAAATGGAGCTTTGCATTTTTGCTTTAGGTAACAATTTTCGCTTAGATTGGACATTACTATTCCCCCCATGCCCCCACCTTTCTTGTTATGCCTCATGTTATTATTCCCACCATCCAGTACATGATCACTCACTTGTCAACAGTACCGCCACCCAGCCTAGCAGCGCTCTGGAGCGTCGTGATGGCTCTCCGCAGGTCACCGCCGCTAACCGACGACAGCGCCTCCAACGCACCCGGCGCCAGAGTGACACCTTCCCGCTCGCAGATGTGCTCAATGCGGCCTGCAGGCCAGCAAGAAACCATGAGCGCGCAGGAACACACGATGCGTACGAGGGCCGCTGAGCCAGAGTGGAACCTAAGGAACCACTGGATGGCAGCCTCAAGCTCTTACCCCTGAACCCAGAAACAGAACTAGGTGTACGCGGCGCATAGCAGGCACGCTAGTGCAGACTGGTTTGCATGTGTGAACGTGTGCAAGATATCGACAAAGACAGTGGCTGATGTGGAATGCCAAGAGAGGATGGGCACAGCGGAGTGAAGTGCCTGAGAAAGGGTGGATGGAACCAAGGTAGGGTTGGCACCCTGGAACAGCGCCTTTGACTTTGGCGGGAAGGGGTTCGCCGCCGATGACCCACCTGCCATGACGGTTGGCTGCAGCGGCTTAAATCGGAACTTCGCGCACCGCGACGCGAGCGGCTCGATGATGCGTGACACGTAGTTGCAAATGAAGACGAATCGAGTCACCCGACTATAGGTTTCCATGGTCCGTCGGAGTGCGCTTTGGGCGTCCTGATCGGGGAGAAAGAAGGGAGCGAAAGAGAGGGAGAGAACGAGGGACAGAGAGAGGGGACAAGTGAACAATCGCCGCGTGCTTCATGACAACCGTGCAAGGAATTGGCCCCAAGCTGGGAATATATACAGGAAGGAGTACTGTACATCAGATGGTGTTTTGTTACGGCATACGAAAGTTTCTGGGCATGTTGGGACGTACCTGGGTCATGGAGTCAGCTTCATCCAATATGAGCAATTTGTATGGCGGGCAAGGGTAGCCGGGCACTGGGGCCCCAACAGCGGCCGCCGCGAAGGACTTGACTTTCTCACGGACCACGTGAATCCCCCGCTCGTCTGAGGCATTCAGCTCCATTACGCGGCTTTTCATCAGCTCCGGCCTGGATGATGCGGTATGCAGCGCACGCACGCACGCAGATGGGCTCGGAAGTGAACACCAACGAAAGGCAAAAGAGCAGATGAGTAATTGCTTATTACCGTGTAGCCATACAGGCATTAAGGCATCATACCCTGACCGGAGACGGACAATTCGAATCAGTGATCAGCAGCGCGCCTATCAATTGTCATACACATCCCAGCTGCGGCACACGATGGGTACTCACCCGTAGAGCTGGCGCGCGATGGCTAGGGCCGTGGAAGTCTTGCCGGTTCCCGGGGGCCCATAGAACAGCAGGTGGGGCAGCTAGCGTGCCGGAGGACCATGGACATGTGGATGCGTGAGTTGGTTGTCCACACGTCAAAAGCTCTTTCTTCGGCATATGAAAATACGTGACCGAGCTCTTACTTGACTTGAACAGGTGGGATAAGGATGAATTCTGTCAAGCCATGACCTACGTTAGCCGTCTCCAAAGCGCGCGTTAACGTGTTGACAACCTCCTCCTGGTACGCGACCTCGTTAACATTTTTCGGCCGGCTGCAAAAACAATTAGCATAGTCATTGAAGGATCCAACACGCTAACGACAACAGGAGACTCACTATTTTTCAACCCAAGGTTGCGTACTCATTTTCTCAAGCCTCCTCTTTGCCCTTTGCCCAAGATGTGCACATGCGAGATTTGTTAAGTAGATTACAAATCGAATCATATAGCATCGATGCTGGACATTTTCAAAAAGGGATTTTAGCGCCGTACACGGTTGGTCGTTGGCGAAAGCTGACCGAAAGCTGACCGTACGACTTTGAGAATTGTGGCACAAGCCTTGGGCGCAGCAGCTTAAGGCTGCGGCAGCTTTCATGAGCGGCAGCTTTCATGAACGTCAGCTCATCCTGAAAACATGCGTCTTAAGTGGAATACATGCATTGCTCCGACAATACCATATCATGATACCGCTTATCGCTTAATATAAGCGCTGATTGAGCATATATGTGCTGAGTTTTGCAAATGCAGGCTTGCGCGCTTGCCACTTTTCCGTTGATTGTCCGGCAGTCTGTCCAGCCAGTAGAGTGGACTACTTCTAACTCGGAGCACGCGCAGCACACACCGTGCATCCCTATCCGCTCGCCAGGACGGGTCAGATGATTCAAGAATGTTGGCCTACACTTCCAAGGTGTATCCAAACAAAGCAAGATCTCGCGAATAGAACGACGCAATGCCTTTATAGCAGTCGGCGCCGCACTCCTCATACATGTTTAAAAATCGCGACATGTCTTTCCCGGCATCCAGGTGGCGTGACATGATTAAGGTTTCGTTTAGCGTTAACCCAGCCAATCCTCCTCCTCCTCCTGATCCTCTCCGCTGCCGCTCGGCAATCAGCGCCAAGGCCCCTTGCAGATCCTGCTGCACGTGTGCAGCATCAGCTCTGCAAGGCATCAGGGTAAAGCAAGTATATCGAATTGCAGGTCTTAAGTGCCAATGAGTGGTTGAAGTCGTGGTGGGACGGGATGAATCGGGTTGTCATATATGTACCCCGCCTGTGTAGAACGGTGGCCGACCAACACGGCGCCTCACCAACATGACGCCACCAGCACAAGTCCAGGCCGACCTGACCGTCAAGCATGGTCCTCTAGCTTGGCGATTAAGCATTGCCCAGTATGCAAACGACATGGCATCTCACTCACAAACCACAGCCACGATACACAATATGACATGAGCTACCACACACAACTGCTGCCGAGTTATATCGCTTAAAGGAGCACACTGCTACCATCGGTGCACGGGTACTTCCAGCTTTGTTCATCCTATTGCAGCAGCTCTGACAGTGCTCACCTGATAAGGTAGTCGATGGCCCAACCACCTGATGCTGTCGACAGGCATGCTGATATGGGCTCCAACAACACCAGGTCTCGGACGGCCTTTGGCGGTTCTGCACATGCACGTGTACATGCACAGGTCAACAGCCAGGCCTACCACGCTAGTCGTATCCCTTGTGTGTGTCCCGTCCGTAACGAAGCATCGCACTATGCCGGTGCAGGCTGCTAGGATCGCATGCTTGTGGCAGGGCGGCGCAGGCGATGGCGGTGCTGGGCTGGATAAGGTCAAGGGCCTTGACTTAAGGCTAGGGAAAATAGAAATGGAAGGCCCGAGTGGCTGTGCTTTATCCAGCTCAACGCTCCTGGAGTGAGCTTAACGATGTGGCCGGGCAACTGGTGATGCGTTAGCTCCGCATGCCTCCACATTCGGGAACATTGTGGCACGCGACGGCACCCGCATCGCGGCATGAGCACAACCTGTGTTGTTTTCTGCTCCTAAGGACAGCCCGCGAAATAAAGCGAATCGTGGTCCTTGGCCCTCCCGTTTGCGCTTTTTACCCTTAAATACCACCGTGCCTCGAGCAGGCGGGTCTTATTTGAGCTGGCAGACTCTGTGTAGGGTATGTGTATCTAAGCTCCTTTGCCACCTTCACACAATGGCCAACCAAACACGCCTGCATGTCCACATGTCTTGGCTGCATACATCACGACAGCGTGTACGACACGAGTTTATGACCCACCTTCAGCATGCCGGTCCTGCCGTGGTTTCCCGCAGCGGAACAGCCCGCCTTGTATAGCGAGCGCAGGCGGGTCCCGTGCGAAGTCTCGAAAAGACAGCGGAGCGCAGGGCCCTTCCTGGACCGCCCAGGATCCAGTCACGCGGTGATACGCACGTGCAGCGCGCGCGTAGGGGTTGGGCGCAGCTGCGATGATGGTTGACTCCGCCCAAAGCTTCTGGGAAGGGGAAATGAGCACGGCGGTAATTGTTGGTCAGCTACCAACGCCTTGACCTTGGCTGCTGAACAGAAGGGTTAGAAAATGCCCAGAGAGGCGAGAGGCATTCGAGTCATCTTAGGAGGATTAGCTGGAGGTAAGTCTCAAAGTTGAGCGTCCTGTAGGTGCGTCCTTGCACTTGAAGCCCCCCCTCCCCCCAGCACAACGCATTAGGTGGGTCGCGTCTCTCACCGCAACGGTATCCGCGCTTGCGCCAGCCAACAGCTTCTGGAGTGGCTCAAGGCACGGTGCATTGCTTACACGTCTTGCGAATTGCTGTTGCACACAAGCACCACCCAGGATATCTAAAAGCCAGGGCTCCGAGGCGTGGGTTATGACGAGTACGTCTTCGCCCTTCAACTGCCATACGCCACAAGGTGCCGATAAAGGAGTAGGGCCCAAGGACAAGTTATTGTGGCTGAGAAGGCTTTGAAACAGGTAGATTCCCCTGGCTAAAAGCCATTCAGATGTGAGGGAGCTGTCGAACAACAGCCATCTTTCGACAGGAAGGGCCCCAGCTTTCTCAAGCCTACCAAATCGAGGCAGTGGTGTATTAAGAAAGCTCGTAGATGATCTATTCTCGTTTGCAAAATGTTGGCTGTAGGCCCTGGTGAGAAAAAGTAAAGTAAAAAGAGCGAGCTGGACAACAGTGCCTTGCATGATAACGGACACCACACATCATTTATGACTAATTATTCTAACTTATAAATCTAGGGACACCGAACTGTTGCGATTCAGGATGTTGTACTTGGCTGGATCCCTAAATATGATCTAAAGGCTCGAGTGTGTTTCTGTGTTTCAAGATGTCATCGCTTTTGCTCGGAAGATCCTTCACGAGCGTAAGTGGGAAGGCGCGAGTTACAAAACATGAGCTGCCTCCAGCAAGGATATCCGCCGCTGTGCAAGCGCAGATAGTTTGCCGATTTCATGGCCATACTGTCTTGTGTATCGTGTAACGTATCTTTTCAGTTTGCTAGTCGCCGTATTATTTCAGCATTAGCCGCCACGGTCTTGACGCGCGTCTCTAGCGGCAGCTGCTGAAAAGTATGCTTTAACCTGTCCAGGCAAGTCTCCGATTTTTCGTTTGGACATGCGACCACATGGGTGTAAGGGTTGGCTGGTAAAACGCAGTTCTCGTGGTATATATTTGTTCTTTGATCACTGCCATTCGCCATACAAGCACACCTACCCATGTCGCATGGCGGCCAATTCTAAAACAATCCGGCGACTAGACGAGCTGAACCATAACATAGATATGATCCATGGCAAGCAAGGCAGTATGGCCAATGGGATTGGCAAACTGTCGGCACTTACACAGCGGGCTGACGATTATGAGAGGCGGCTGTTGGAGGCAGCAAGCAGGAACGGGGTCATGTTTTGTGACTCAAGCCTTCTACTTCGTACCCCGCTAATACACCAAAATCAAGGAATCCTGAAGTACAAGAACCCATACACGGACATCACCTTGGATGTGGATCCGTGGATGGACTCCTGTGCCATTGCACCAGCCGTGAAGCTCGCCATGGTGGGGCAATAGGCGGGCATGGCAATAGTGGACGTCCACTTACACTCCGCCAGCTGCGGAGCTGTCCTACAGGCGTGCTTGGAGCTTAAGGGCAGGCACGGTACTGTCGTCCAAGGCGCTTTCACGATTGAAACGAAGACGAAACGCACACGCACGTTCGTACATCTGCGGGACACTCAAAAGCTGCCGGTACGGTGGATGAACAGATTAGATATCGCTGTCCGGGCGCCGTAGAAAGGGCGGCACCTATGCACTGGACCTTGGGAACCGGTCAACAACCCGGGCCCCCAATCAGGATGGTGGAGGCAGCAGCAGTGACGATAGAGGCGGCGGTAGCAGAGCGTACGCAAGGAAGCCACGAGGTTCAGCCTGCAACCCCACCTATCGCACTCGGTAAACATTACTATGCATTCCAACCTTCCTAGGAGATTGTGTTGAGTAACTTGGTGGGGATGCAGCCCCCAATCCCGGAAATGGTTTGGTTTGTGGAGAAGGAGACCTATAAAGTATCGAATCCTTACAATGAAAAGCGGCTAAGGGAAACCTGTTGTGCCATGTGGGGGGAAGAAAACCCACATGGCGTGCAATGTCCGTGTTCAAGCCGATGCAAGAGGGGCGGCGCTACTTACTGCGTATGTGCAGAGGCAAACTGGTAGCTTAGGTCCTTTCCAAGGCAAGAATGATGGGCCAATGCGTCGTGGCTGAGGTGGCGGCAATGGTGGCGGTAGGGTTTTCAGCTACCGCCTAGGGCATCGGCGTCGCCAGTAATGTGTGATTCGACACCCAGGACGCGAGGCTCGGGGCAGCAGAGTGAATGAGAGCGGTCCGTGTGGCCGGTCCAGTCAACCCTTTTTAGGATGCGCTGGTCCCTGTTGGTCTCTAAAGGAGTTGCCACAGGCGCTTGAACAAAAGGATGGCCGCGGATGCACATGCACGTTGGACGCTGGAGCAGAAAGCGCGCCTTAGGCTTGGGTACGAGCGTCCGCCTACTATAACGCATCTGGTTCTCCCATAAATGACGGCCCCGTTGCAATAGAAACCTGCGTGGATGCATTTCTAGGACCATGTGCGCGGTTTTGTGTTAAGAAGTCTAAAAACAGGTTGTGACACATGGACGTCAACCCGGAGCGGATAAATCTTGGGCGAAAGGGAGAGCGGATATCGTTACAGGGTCAGTACGTGTTCGTAGGATTCCGGAATGTTGATAATGGACCAGGCCGATCCTTCGATTGAATGAACGAGCCGGCTGCCTTAACGGACAGTGCCCCCATGTGCCATCGAGATTATGCAGGATTGTACACGTCAACATACGCCATAACATGATTGTATGTTATGTCGCAATACCCTGGAAGCTGTCCTCAGCTGTCGGCAAATGCGTGGGCGCTGTTCCTATCCTGTATGGCAGTACCAGTTATCCTGTAAGGGGGCGTCGAAACATCCTGTTTCGATCTGCTCATAAGCAGGACAGAATAGGCTTCGCTCGTCCCAACTGTCAAATGCTTCGCACTCCGGATGCGGGATGAAGCCAAACTTATAAAGGTATTATAAGTATGAAGGAGTTTTTTGTGGGAAAAAAACGGTGTAGGATGGCTGAAGACGTTTGAAAATATACATGTTTGATGCAACAAAGACCTATCAAGCCACATTCACAGCACGCATGGTTACTGCAAACAGACAGTAACAGGTAAGGGCTGGAATCAAGTGCTTTTGTGGGAAACTGGGCCGGTGACCACGTAGGGCCCTTATCGCGCTTTTACATGACATTGGTTGCAATTAGGGTGCAACCTCCAATACCGGATCTATATATAGCCGATGTTGAAGAAATGTATTATGGGCCCGGCATGCAGATTTCTAGATTGAGTTAGCGCAAGCTTAATGTAATTGCAAGAGGATGTATAGCGGCCTTAGTCAACAATCTAACTGCCGAACCACTCTAAATTATTGCATCAGAGTCCACCCTTCAGGCCGTACTCTCTGCGGAACGGCCCGTGGTTGCGATGGCACGGATTCACTCCTCGCGGTCGTCGTCGCGTCTCGCCCTGTCAGCGTGGCAACCACGCAGCAGTCGCGGACTCCTTGGAGATCCTCCGCAGCTTCACATGAACTTGCAGGCGCCGCTGCTATCTCCATGGCGCTGCATAGCGTGCCTCCCCGCAACGATTTCGGCCCCTTACGGTCTAGCCCGTCCGCTCCTGTGCAGCCACAGACGGAGGGCGAAGCTTTGTCAAGCTCAACAAACGTGGCGCGGAGCTACGGACGCAACGCGGGGCGAAGTGACGGCCATGTTCGACAACGTCTATTCCCCCTGCAGGAACAGGTCCGGCAGCACACCAACCCACGGGAACCCCTGACCACCCGGCGTGACCATACGGGAACCCCTGACAACAAAAATAACACCAATACCACCCGCCTTATCAGCAACAGCAGCTACCCCAGCAACAGGGGCTTTCGTAGCAACAGCACCACTACCACCACTACCACCACCAGCGGGAGCGTAGGCCGGGACAACAACAACCAGCGATACCCGAAACAACCCACCGACAGCGTTGCAGGCACCCGCGTTGCAGCAAAGTCCGTTGTCAACGGCACCCGCGTTGGCAGCAGCGGCGCCTCCGCCGGAGCTGGTGGCGGCGCAGGGCCGGAGGACACACAGAAGGTGAGCTACAGCCAGCGGGTGGCGCGACTACGTAAGCCGGCGCTGACGGCCGCCGACAAACTGGGTCTCGAACCGGAGGAACGAGCACGCATCTTCCGGGAGCTGAGAACACGTGAGTGAGTGAGAGAAAGAGTGTGAGAGAGTGTGTGTGTGTGTGTGTGTGCATGCCCCCCTGGCCCGGAGGTGTCAAGGACAGTCACCCACCCGCTTACCTACATGTCGTACATACACAAAACGCACACGGGTGGCGAGTCTGCGTGTCTGCAGGTGGTTGCGCCACCTCGGGCAGCCCACCTCACGGCCACACGTGCGTATCCATTGCCCACATACTCCATGTGCACCACGCACATCTCCACATCTCCCTAATTCACTGCCGTATCCTTAACAGGCAACATGCAAACATGCAGACGCCTCTGCTGAGATTACCTGCCGCGGCGTTTCTAAGGTGATCCTGTCGTACCTCCTCTCCTCCGCTCCACAGCTCGCAGCAGGGTGGTGGTGCCAAGAAGAGCCGGTGGCAGCAGTGGCGACGGCGGCCGCGGCGGCACTGGGGATCAGGCGATTAGGGCCGCAAGCTCAAGGACTCACCTCCGAGGCCCCGACCCTGCGGCGGCAGGGCGCAGCGCAGGATCGGAAACGCAACCGGGACCGGGTACAAAGCCGGGGAAGCCTGATGTCGCCTTGCTACCGCTGCCCCTACGCGTCTTTTGTTACGGCATCGACGATGTACGACTGTACCGCGCTCTGGAGGAGGCGGATGCGTTGGGTCTCGTTGTGGTGGTGTCGCAGGTGGCGGCGGCGGATGCGGTGTTCGCCACGCGGGTGAAGCGCACGGGGAAGGCGCTGACGCTGGATGAGGTAGGTCCGGGCCGCCATAGGGAGAGCCCTGTAGTGAGTACGGATGCCGTACTGGCCTTCCGGAGGCCCCGCACGGAATCTTGTTCAGGGGTGCGTACGTCGGGGTACGGTGTAGGGGTTGTTGGGGCGTTGTAAGTGAGTGGGAAGCCGGACGCGGGACAAGATCTGAGTGCGGGTGGTGCCCGTCTGGCCGTAGGGCCCTCCTACCGTAGGTTGCCGCGGCCGCGCTCGTTGTTTGCGGCTACACGAGCGGCTACACGAGAAGACTCCGTAAAGGTTTGCTAGGCAACCAGCCAAGGATATCGCCACTAACCAGGCGATCCAATCCAACCAGGTAAACCAGGCCGCCAGGCTTGACCCTAATCGCGACCTGGCTTTCCGCCTAGTCTTCACATTTTTTGGTCCTCAACATTTTTACGGTCCTCAACATCAGGGGGCCCCACGCGGTGTGCTCCGTCTCCGAAACCCACCCGCCGGCAGATCTCCAACGCGGCTCGTAACGCCAACAAGCCCTTCGTGGAGCTTTCCGCCGTGTCGGCCATGCGAGTGATGGAGGCCGTGGAGGAGCTCACGGGGTGGCTGGTTCCGGAGCATCTGCGGAGGCGGACTCCGCCACCGCCGCTGGCGCTGTTGCCGCCGCTGGATGCGGCGGACTCTACGGGCAGCGCGGAGGCGCTGGGGCTGCTGACTGGCGGCCTGGTACGTCCCGTGGGTCTGTGTGGGAGTGGGTGGGTTCGAGACGATACCTTAACCTGCCCCCGGAACGGAGTGGTGCGGGAGGTCGTAGGGGGGATGTTGTTGGAGCTGTCGAGAGCCAGCTGGTGGGTACATGCGACAGAGACGGGCCTCGCGGAAATGCACCGATGAGGTGGGTGGGTGCGTGGGTGGGTGGTGCCCCTCGTAGCAGCTTTCCGCGACCTTAGTCGCCGCCTCCTGCCGGGTACGGTACTGGCGGGCCGGCTCTCGTCTGCTTCCCATGTGTCGGGCACCGTTAGGTTCCCGAGGAGCCGTCAAAAGCCGCCAAATTGCATTTGTAGCTTGAAGCTCGAAGCCCCTGTAACATATAAAACACATTAGCTGACGTAAGCATCATCATGTGTTGTTTGTTTCCTGACCGCCATCACTGCCTTTTTTTTCCGACTGGAAATACCCGTCCCCCCGTGAAACAAGCCGTGAAACAAGCCACAGCAAACAGAAGTCGGGCCAACAGGGAACCACCGCGTCGCGACCCCCTCCCGTTCCGCAGACCCTCTCCGAGTACATCCTGGCCAGGGCGGGGCAGGACCTGCCGGTCTCACTTATACGGGAACTGGACCGTACAGATCTGTACGACAGCCGGGACGAGCTACTGCCCGTCAACCCTCAGGAGCGCGAGGCAGCGCGGCAGCGCCCTGTGTTCCGGCCGTACATGCATGGCAGCCGTATGGCCAGGCAGCGCCTGCTGCGGGAGCACATGCGGAGTCGTGCAGAGGCGGAGGGTGTAGTGCCTTGGTAGCCTGATCAGGACACCTGAGCCGGCCGGATACCCAGTGGTGTTGTTCTCTAGCGCCAATCGTCCAGCACTACCACAAGCACCCTCCACCTGTCGTGTCATTCGTATGTATGTATGTATGTATGTATGTATGTATGTATGCATGCATGCATGTACGCATGCAAGTACGCATGTATTTGCATGTGGTAAATAAGCGGTCTGGACCTGGCACTGTTCAGGGGTAGAGATGTCCAGCCTTGACTGCAACACCGCCTAAGGAAGCACTCTCCGAAACCATGGGGGTAGCGACGTGAGGAGGGGCCGCTGTCGCGTCGCCTCGTGATTAAGTGAGGGAGTGCGCACGTAGGCGCTGAGGTGCGCGATAAGGCGCACGACGATGCGTTACAGCAACTGCTGCCGGGCCACTGCCAAGTGCTGAAGGGTGCTGAAGGCGTTGAGTGCTGACAATGTGTGCGGATGGAGTTCAGTGTTTCTGCGGCTTGTGCACATGCTCGGCATCTGATAGTGTACTCTTGGCGACTGTCGATCGATCGTTCGGTCAGCTTCAGCAGAACCCCTCTCTCAGCCTTAGCCCGCAGCCTCAAGATCTGGCCCAGCTCAGCTTGTGGGTTGGAGTGGAGTCATTTTGCGTGTGTTATTGTTGTGGCGGCGGTGCCGGTGGTGTCGGCAGGTGACATGTGCCGCGGCGACGCAGAACTCGTGGATACAGGGGGAACAGAGCCTCGTTACCCAGGGGGACGAGTACGGCAGGTCGGAAGGGAGGTTGCTGGGAAGCACCCGTCTTTCCTGAATTCATTCGTCCAGCTGAGCATACCGTGGTATTGCTGCTGGTGCTGGTGATGATGCTGGTGCTGGGTAGGCGGCACAGGTAGGTTCTCGAGATTCTCTAGTCCAGGTTACAGGTCTATCATATTACCAGCTTCGGATGTAGAAAACGATAGACAGACAGACATGCAACTCCAACTTCCGCAAAAAAGCTCGTACACAGGGGATGCCTGAGGATGACGACACAAAACATTGGTGTGCCGGCACACGCGGCTAGTAAGCGCGGGACTCGTGCTGCACAACAGCGTCTCGCTGCCACCCCTCAGCAACACCTCCACCCGGCCCACCCCTTCTCCCTCCCTAGACCCACCCCCGGTCAGGTCGCACATTCGTATGCTTCATCCTGCGCTGCACAGTAGACATCCGTAATGGTGTTACCGGCGATGCTGCCGCTGCTGCTGCTGCTGCTGCTGCTGGTATTGACCTGCCTGTGGCTACCGCTTCACTTGCCGCAGTTGTCGACGCCAGAGGTCAAGTCCTGAGCTCCGAGGCGGCTTTGGCTTCATGCCAACAGTACAACGGCTTTCCGTGATTTCCAGTCGGACAGCAACTCGTCGGCTTGCAGCTACTACATGAGGGCGCACTGAAGGAGGGGGTGACAGACGCAGGCGGCTGCCACCGCTGGAGGCTTTACGTAACTGCGCTAAATTTGTAAATCCGTATATATGTATGTATCATGTGTGTGTCTCTCCTTTCCTCCGGGGTTCTAGTGGCGCTCCTTGCGTTTCTGCGGCACACGACGTATCCAGCGGACAACAGGAAAGGATGGAGTTGAACGGTCAGGGGTGGGGGTTCAACGGCTCCAACAGGGGCTAGGAAGGCAAGAAGCGGACTAGCCTTGTATTATGAGTTGCGGCCTGCAACGCATGTGCTTCCCGGTACCGTCAGTCACCCATGCTAAGACCACCACACCACAAGGACACAAGACCCACAGTTCCGCAAACATAGGGGGCCATGCTGAAGGGGCCGACCAGGGAATGCCACCTTTTGCTTACCCACATAAACTTGGGCTCATCACAACGCTGCTGCACGGGCATGGTGGAGCAGTACGGTACGTACCTGCGGCCATGCCACGCAACACCACACTAAGGCATGCTGCAACAGTTTGCTGAAATTGTAATCGGGATTCAAGGACATGCCCCGGGGTCGGCAGGGGTTGCCCTTTTACATTGACTGATTAAGCAGGCAAGCAAATCTGTCCATGTCAGCCATGGCGTATATGCGACGCCAGATGCGACGTAAAAGGGTTTCTCATCTTATTGCCACTTGGGGTTCCGACATAAGACGGACTGCGGCACGTTACAGATTTTAGCCACAGGACACAGAAGCTTTTCTTATGTTGCTCAAAACGTCAGCATGAGTTAATCTGGAGACGGAGAGGCTGATGATGGGCTTGTAGCTGCTACTGTTGCCCAAGGGACGAGCGCCCGTTGGGCCAAGAGGGTGCCGGCACTAAGAAGGACGGGGGCCCTGGGGCGTGTGTGTCCCGGGCCAGTCACTCAGCCCCACTCACTCCAGGTGGGTGTACGCGGCGTCATTGAGCTGTTTGCGAATTTGGTACTCCCAAGCGGCAGCGGGGATCATGTTGTGGGCCTGCAGCCAATGCGGGGGCCGGTTCAAAGTGTTATCACGTTCTGTGTGCATCTAAGCACACACCCCCTCAACAAATGCAGGCTGGATGGTCAGATAGGCCAGTCCAAGACCGGGGCCATCGCGCCGAGGCAAGATACGCGATAATGGACGGGACGGGAGCAAGAGAACGATCCGGAAGAACAGCGGCATGTCGGGCATGCGTGCTGGGCCATGTATATCAAGTATTCGAATTACTTTGCTGGCTGCCCCTGCTGTCTTGGCGGATGCGTGGAGCAAATCGGCACGGCGCGAACGAGGACATGTGCGGTGGTGAAACTGGGAAGCACCAAACGCCGCCAGCAGTGGCAGATGAGAACATCCACACACGCAAGCGCCAACTAAACCAACCCTGGCAGCATGAAAAGATGCTGTTTCCCGGCAGGGAGGAGGGAAAAAGGGCCATAAAATAAGCCTACGATTTTCCATAAACCCACCGCGCTCTCCCAAATGCTAGGCCCATAAACTTCTTCCAGCTCCTGTGCGGGGGATGGCTGATCTGTCTGAGATTGCTGCGACATGGTGGTGGAGTATGGTAGGGGAGGGCTTAGGGTGGTAAGAGTTTCGCGACGGTGACTCCGCAAGCCTCTCTTCTGTGCAGCAGCGGCTTCGGAAGCCGCTTAAAATGGTTTGTTGTGTGCTTAAGTTTCGCTTCAAGCTGCCTGTGAAATTTGAGACGTGCTTCGGACACGCCGCTTCCGCGCCGCGTCGCAGCGGGATTTCGATGGCTCCAAGAAAGCGAGCGCGAATCGTTGCGAGTCTTACGGACAGAACCGACAACATGAACGATGTTCTCGTGATAAGTCCATCAAAGCTGGGCCTAAAACGTATGCTTTGCATCGGGAACACCTGAAGGCGCGTAGGGAAAATTTCGATAATATGTTGACTTGCGTTGCCAAAGGTCACTTGAGCTGGCAAGGACCTGTATGGCGAGAACACGCTCTGCGAAATGACGACTAACGAACGTAATCATCTTGGGGGCTCCACTTCTGCAGCGCGTTTTTTTGACCTTCTGCTGCCACAGAAAGGCTAGCTTCGGTGGCACGCACCGTCCCTTCATAGCGCAGAAATACCGAGGACGCCACGCCCGTTGCCTGTTGCATTCATAGGTCAGCAGCTGTTGTTTTGTTCCTTGAGGGCAATTACCAGCGTGTGTACCATCGCACTGTCACCATAGCATTCCTCCGAGGCGATGTTTAGACCATTGTTAAAAGTGCGTGGAAGGCTTTGCTTATTCATTCGATTGTTACCATCGTTCGTTCGCTTCACAGCATGGGAATCGCCAGGAACTGCGTTGCCAGGAACTGCCCTGCGTAAAGCTAGACGCTGGATATGAACATACTTATATTTGCTGAATGGGAGTCGTATCGGGACGTTCTGGGCCGGGCTGTTCAGCGCCCCTTTCGAGGTGCTCGCAGGCTTTAGAGGACATTACCAGTAAATGAATTATTGTGTTGTATAATGTTAAAATATCTAGTAAAGCTTTCTTTTCTCCCCTCCTGGACACGACGGCATATGCCTCCTAACATGCAGACGACACATCACATGCGTCATTATTTCCACAGGTTTAGAAATTAATCAGCTGCTAAATCTAAAGAAAAAATAATTAAACTTTCTTGAATTAGAAACGTATGGGCATCAGATGCCGCGTATTGCCCACCTTAGTAATCTTACAGGCAACAGAATCAACGATACTTCGTTCCGCCCTTCCTTCCTGTCAGGCTCAGTTATTGTAGCTTGAAATGGCTATAATAAAGAAACCTTATTATATATCACAAAATCTTTAAGACAATAAGCATCAATACGCAGTCAAAGCTACGGAACCTTCAGGCAAGCAATCGCTACATGCAGCAGTTTCCCTAACAGGTATCCGATGATATAAATCTGATACGATCTACCTGCAATCACAATAACTCAGTGCTCAATTGGTAGCACACATAGGTGGGTTCACTTGCCCGTCAATCCCTGGATTTCCATGTTACCTCCGATTCGTATAAAATACAGGTAGCACATTTTTATTGTTAAAGTGATTCAACAACCGTAACGATTACGCCAGGTGGGCGCAACTGAACTGCCCAAGCTGGCCCCCATGTCTCCGGCAGCCCGCCTGACTCATGGCCCCTGCTCTCCGGTCGTTCAGTAAAACTCCAGTGAAGGCAAATAATCTCACGGCAGCAACGTTAAACTTGGCTGTAAGCGCTTCAGCACTGTGTCGGCAACGAATATGCCTTCTGTGGACGCTGTGGCCGGTTTCGGCGGCATCGTCACTACAGACAACTCCGGAGCCCTTGGCCCAACCGCTTCGAACACAGATAGAACCACCACGGAAGCCTCAGGGTTTCGTGGGCAGCTTGACGACGCTCCTGCGGACCTCTCAGATGCCGCGTTGGTCTACGAGACCGGCCGCCTGAGCTACGAATCCGATTACGATGAGGTCTTCCAGGTGGCCATCATTGGAGCAGGGGTCTCCGGACTACAAGCGCTGCGGGCGGTCCGACGCGCCGGCCTCGACGCAGTAGTCTTGGAGTCGCGCCCCGACGGTAAGCCTCCAAAATGGGTTCCCCGGATTGTGCCCTACCTCTCTTTCGAGAAGAGTAATTCTTTCGAGAAGAGTAGAAGGCACTGGAATCGCGTGTGTACGTGCGTGTATGTACGTGGCAGCTCCGGCTCGCTCTGACCGCAGAGAACGCGCCTTTCTCCCTACTTGGCGTGTGCGCCGAGTGCCTTGATGCGGAGTCCTTGGCACCAACACAACCCCTCCCCATGTATCCCGTGCGTGAAATGGCCTGGCGCGCCCTTCTCGCCGGAAAGATGCGTGACGCGTGCATGACGAGCCAAGCATTGAACAAACGGATACAACACGAGCGCTCTATTGCGAGTTCCTGACACGCTCTTTTGAAATCCAGGTGCCCTTTACAGGAACACGGCATTTGGCAGTAATGGCAGAAAAATGTACGAAAGCATAGTAACCGCGGGCGATGTGTCACTGCGACCAGGTTTTTTTTTGCGTTCTTCTGAAGTGCTTTCAGCTCTGCTGGCCCGGCGCCGACCCATTCCATTTTCTCCCCGTCCTCGTTAACCCCGCCGTACATGGTCGTACATGATGACGCCTTCAAGTCGGCGGATGCTGGCTGGATATGACCTCCCGGGGGCACGGCAGTCACCCCGTAGGTGCGTCTTGGCCGTGTATCCTGAAAGAAACGTGCGAAAAGGGATAAGCCTGCGGTGGAGGTGAGAAAAGAGCGTGTGTTTGTAGATGCCCAGTTTCGGACTGCTTGACGCTCCTTCCATCACCCTTGGGTGATGTTTGTGTGCAGCCCCATCCCTCTTCCCTTCTCCTTCCCAGGGCTCTACACAGCAATGCACCGTTGCTTCATTTCGTTACATGCTTGGGCTCCGAGGTTGTTGGTGTAAAGGTCGGCGAGATTCCCGCACCGTACCCCACATCTGCTTCAGCGGATGGTCGCTTCAATTGGGCGCAAAGCGTGACGCTTAGGGTGTTTCGGTGCGACGGACAAGTTACTGGACCAATAATGTTATCGTCGTTTCTAGTGACCCGCCGATCCACGGTCAACCTATACGGCAATGTCTTTTTTCCGTACAACGTGCGGAATGGATGCCGCGCCCGCAGGCCCGTGGAAACTCTGTGAGTTGCCGGAGCTGCCCTGGCCGTCAAAGCTGCGGCCCATGGGTGACACCGCTACGGCGCAGGACATGCTGCGCTATATCCGTACGTATTCTGACGTCATGCGGCTCCGGCCATACGTGCGGTGCGGTTCCACCGTCACCTCAATGGAGCAACTGCACGACGGCTCCTGGGTGGTGCAGTACACGGAAAACAACACGTCCGCGTCGGAAGGCTCTCGGGCAGGCGCGCAGGGGGAAGCTGTAGCAACAGCAGCGGCTGCAGTCAAGGGGGGACGCGCGCAGCTGATCGCTAGCTTCGTCATCGTGGCCACAGGCATGTACGGCACGCCGTACATACCTAACATCCCGGTGAGTCGCACATTGCGACAGACAGACACACCACATAGCATTCTCCCACCCACATTGTGCTCGTTCAAGCGGCCTTTGTCACCTTCTTCTTCGGCTTCTGATCAGACGACTTCAGCATATTGCACGCTCGCACGATGACGTCATCACAGCACCAAACTTGTAGGTTTCCCACGTCCTCACTAAGTACTCCTCTTCATGTGCCACACCTTTTTCCTCATCGTCGTGCCTGGGGCGTGTTGCTACCTAAAATCCTGCCCTTCGTTACCTCCTGCTATCGTACCTCACTCCCTCTTACCTCTACAGGGTAGGGAGGCCTTTTCAGGTCGCCAGCTGCACGCGGGGAGTCTCCGCGGGTCTGCCCTACCCAGGCGGTTTCGGAGCAGTGACTGCAGCGGCACCGTCGGCAACAACAGTACGCACGGCGGGAGGACCAATGGCGGTGGCAGCGGCGCGGTTGCACGGTTTGAGGGCCTCCGCATTGCCGTACTTGGTTGCAGCAGAGAGCCGGCGGAGCTGGCTGGGTTGCGGGCCGTGGCGGCGGTTGCGGATGCCGTGACCATGGTGGCGGAAAGGGTGAGGGCCCCGGCGGGACGGGGGGGTTTGCTTTTTCCTTTCCTTGGCTTTTCCCCGGAACAAGTAGCATTGCCTCCATTCGCACAGACTCACGCACGTTACAAACCCGGCACTTGACTCCCATGTGCCCGCGACTGTATTCACGATGGTGGCCCTATGCACGCCGTACTGTGCACCGTACCTTATGCCGTACATTACCGTATGCAGGTCCGCTGGCCGCTGCCGCCACTGGTGACGTGCTTGGGAGAGCGGCAGCTGCTGCACAGCCGGGTTACCAGCAGCAGCTGCTGCATACCGCCCTTCCACACGGCGAGCTCTGCGGATCGCTGGGTGCACAGTGAGCGGGGGCGGGGGGAGGGGAGTGGGAGGGGATCAAACCGGGGGTGAGGGGGGTCCCCAGGCACACGGAGGAGCCATAAAACCCCGGCACGAATACAGGACACGTCGAAGACGGTGAGGCCGCGCGAGATGCGGGCAGTGCACTAGTAGAAAGGGCAATTGAAGGGCTCCGCTTGGGGCGTTTTCTCATCCACCCACGCTTCTGGTAGTACGGCGCCTTCAACGCGCTTTGGGCTCACCCAGTCGCGAACTCGGGTTACGAATCCGCCGCCGTTCTTTTCCCCTCAGCCCCCTGTTCGACACCCTCTCCCCAACGTCCAACCTCACGCATCATCCCCGACCTCGTCGCATTCTCTATCGCGCATGTGTGGTGTGGGCGTGTGGACCGGAATCTCCGGCCCCACGACGACGTCCACCACCCCCCCTGACAACCTCGGGCGCCGGCAACTCGCAGGGTGAGTTAACGCACCGCAGCAGTCGGGACTAACTAGGCTTCGGGGTCCCCGAGATGGAAGGTAACCGGTTTGTGTGTGTATGTGTATGTGTGTATGTATGTGTGTATGTATGTGTGTATGTATGTGTGTATGTGTGTATGTGTGTATGTATGTATGTGTATGTATGTATGTGTATGTATGTATGTGTGTGTATGTATGTATGTGTGTGTAGTGCTCCGCAGTAGTGAAAGCTATGCACCTATGCATGTGTAGCTGTAGCTCTGTTCTGTTCATATTTCTGATGCATGTTGCATCATCCCCCATATTGAATACCTTAGGCTGGCTAGGCCCGTTAGAGAGGTCTTCTGGAGCTGCATCAAGGCGGGCGTCAGTCGCGAAGTGGACATGCCGCTCGGGGGGCCCAAGAGCCTGTACGACGATCTCCAGTGTGGCGGCCAGGTGTCGGATCCCGTCACGCCGCGGCTCATGCGCGACCCACGAGTCAGCTGGGTGGGAGGTGCGTGTGTGTGCGGGAGAGGGAAAAGAGCAAGTGAACGACTGAGCGCCTGAAGGAATTGGTGTGGATATTCTCGCGCCGTGTGGACAGCGCAGACGTTTGGCCGTATCGTGCAGTGGGAAGGCGCCTACGCGTATAACACCAGCGCCCCTCGATTCCCAGCACGCTTGCAGCATCAAGCAAACGACTTGTTGTTTGGTGTGTGCAAGACAAATTCTCCCCAAGACAGTTCAACTGGTAGGGTCTCTTTAAAACACATGATGAAGCCACAACAGCGCGCGGAAACAACACGAAATGTCGGGGGAAACTCTCCTGCCGTACAGGTCGCGTCGCTGCACTGGACGCCGAGGGTGTCGTACTGTCCGACGGCCGTCACGTGGCTGCTGACGTCATCCTGTACTGCACCGGCTACGTGCAGCGGTATAGGTTCCTGCCGTCCACCATACTCCAGGCGCTCACTACTCCACCACCTGCGGCTGCCGTAGTTGCCACCGCTGACACCTCCAACGTCCACGGCGGCTGTCACTTTCCGTCAGCCATTCCACAGCGCACACCCGAATGCGCACGGCCGCAACCCCAGCAACATATTAATCAGCATCAAGGTGGGCTTCGCGCACGCGGCGACGGCGGCGACGGCGACGGCGCGCCGTTGGAAGTGATAGGCAGCGGCGAAGTGGCCCTGTACCGCAACATGGTGCATTGCGGCGTTCGGAACCTGGCCTTCGTCGGCTGTGAGGTGATCACCACCAACCGAGTCCTCACGGCCGCGCTGCAGGCCGAGTGGCTGGCACGGCTGCTATGCGGTCGGCTGCTCCTTCCGTCCGCGCGGCAGATGGCAAAGGTCATGCTATGCGCGCGGGAATGGGCGCAGCGCGAGGCGGCGGCGGCGGCAGCCAGGCGGCGCCGAGGCACGGGGGGGTCAGCTGTCAAAGCTGCGACGGCTGTAGAGGACCGGGAGCCGTTGCAATCCGTGGGAAGTGCAGCAGCGCCGGGCCGTGAAGCGAGGACGGCAAAGGAGAAGGTGAAGGTGGCGAATAACAAGAAGACGGCAGGGCTCGGCGGACATTCACTGATCAACCGCCTCCGCGCCGGGAAGAGTTCGCTCCTGTCGGCCACGTTCGGGCTCTTCACCAGTGCTCTAGTCACTAGCTCAGCAGCCTTAGCGGCATCTGCAAGCGGCCGCGGTGGCGTCAACACCGTACGGGTCGGCGACAGGGACAAGAGGAACGATGAAAAGGCAAGTGGTGTCAAAGACCGTTCGGAGACAGCCGACACCGCCGCCGCCGCCGCCGCCGCTGCCGCCACGCCGCCGCTGGAGGCCCCTCTGCGCCCCTTCGCGCAGCTGGGGCTGCACACGCAGGCCTACCATGACTGCTTGATGCACGACCTGGGGGTAAACCCCTATCGCAAGGTAAAAGCGAAGTAAGAGATGGGGGAGAAGGCTACGGGCCGCCTCTGCCCTCTTAATGCCTCAGCGCTCCGAGTTGATTCCGGTCAATGTCTGCACCTCCACCTGGACCTCAGCCCAGCAGGCAGGGAGGTGTTCCCAGCCTCCACCTCCCCCAGTTCATGAAAGCCCCTTTCGACGCACGGCCGCCGCAGGGTTGCTTCTGCCTTGCGGAGCTGTTCTATTCCTACACGGCCCGAGACTACGCGGGGGTTGTTATGGAGGACCTGATGCCGCAGATACCCAGGCCGGCAGCCGCAGACGGCGCCCAGGCGGCCTGCAGGGGCCCCGGATGCGGGGCAGAAGGAGGAGGAGAGAGAGAAGCAGAGGGAGAGGGAGGAGAGGGTCGCCGGTGTGCCTTAACGTGTTTGGATTCTGGATCCGCGGGGTTCATGGTACGTACGACATAAGGCGCTTGGTGTGGATCTTGCCGTAGGCCGTCCTGCCGGGGGCTACTCCTCTTTCTTTGTTCATCAAGTTCCTTTTTCCCCTCCCCCTGCCGCGCTGCATGCTCTGTCCATTTGTACAATTTGTACCCAATTTGAAATTCCGTCTCTTTCATCCCCTCACTCCTCTTCCCTGTCATCCCCTTGGCTTCTTCTTCCGACCCTGCAGGTTTACACGATCGCAGCTAATCCAAAGAAGTTGGAACGGCCCCTGGGCAGCCCCTCCAGCAACTGGAATGACACCCAACTAATGAGGGCGACCCAGTCTGCCGCTGACGCCGCAGCTGTCGTACCCCGTCCCTCTCCCGCTGTTACCCCCGCCAGCCGCAGCGGAGCAGCTGACGAGCATCCACCTTCGCCGCCTTCGTCACAGCCATTGCAGCTGTCAGCGCCAGCTCTGCCGCCGCCATGGATCAGACGACCCATGGGTCGCGGTGACCCTGGCGGTGATGGTGGTATTCGAGGTGACGGTCCTGACCTTGCTGTCGCTGGTTCGGGTGATGAAGGTGGCGGCCTTGATTTTGGCGAACGGATCTGGTTGTCGTCGAAGCTGGGGGTAGGGCTGGGTGGGCCAGAGGCTGCTGATGTAAAGATGGCGGTACGACACCAAAACGCCAACATTGCATCACAAGCCGTCAAGGCAGGCACGCGGACGGGGACGGAGATGGCGGCAGCGGTGCCGTACTCTGTTGGTGGTCCCGGTGAGGCCGCCGCCGCCGCCGCCGCCGCCGCAGCGTCGTGTGGCAATGGTGTCGCTGAGGCGCCGGCGGCGATGCCGCTGGGAGTTACCGCGGCCGCTGCAGCACCCCTGATCAGCAGCGGCGCCACTAGGCTCCCTTACGAGTTATCGCCTTTCACAGCCGTGTCATTGACCACCTTGCCCACCATCACTCCCTCCCACGTCGCCAACATCGACGCCGCCGCCGCCGCCACCGCCAAGTCCAACACAGATATGCAACCCCAGATCCAGATGAGTGGCATTCAGACGGCCTGTGGTGTATCAGGATCCGTCGCTTACTGCAGCTCGCTGTCGCCGCTGTCGCCGTCCCACAGTGCCGACGGCGATGAGGGCGGTGTCCGTACGACCATCGCAGCCACGGCGGAGCTTGTCGCCAGCGGCCTGGCGCACCCCGAACCAGGGGTTAGTGTGTTGGACAAATCAGCGTACGCCGTAAGCGATGGCGGCAGCAGCGGAGGAGCAGGAGCGGCGACCTTCATAGAGCAGGCAGCAGTGGTGAGTCGTTTCGCGCTGGTGCCGAGCGCCATTTCGTGGCCGCTAGCAGCAATCTTGAACCGAAGAAATAATTTCATGGAATATATATTATTTTCCTTCGGTCCTCTGCTAAAATTCTTTGCTTAATTTGCCGCTGAAATGTCGCTACGAGTCGTTCGATGCTTACGATGGTGTGTGTTTGTCTCTCTCTGAACCCGATCCTAGTTCACGCTTGTCCACGGACTTTCGCAAAGTAATTACTTGTTTTAAATTATATTAATCATTACATACGTATTGCCTAATTGTTGGAAACACCGCTTCACAAGGATTTATTGCCTGTCGAGCCGGCCTTCCACTTCCGGCATTATTTGGCTTTATAAGGGAGAAATAGCAGGAGCTCCACATCCCTATCACGGAAATATCCATAGTGCGCTACTATCTCTATCAACCACGTGGGATGGGGATGGCGCTTCTGTTCAGGCGCCAGCGGCGGCTGGGGGTAAGGAAGGAGGGCTGGCGGTGGCGGCGGAGGTGGAGGAGGTGACAGTATGGCGCCTGAGAGACTATGTCCCCCGACCACGCCGCCGTGTTGTTCACCATGGGCTGCAGCCGCACTGGCGTCGCGCGGCGCGGCGGCAGGCCAAAGAGATGCTACGGCAGACCGCAGCAGAGGCCGCATCGCCGCACCCGCAGCCCTGGCAGAAGAGCAGCGCAGTGCGAACATACCATCCATGCAGCCGTATGCAGCCGAAGCTGCACGCACAGACTTACATACACACGCAAGCACAGCTGCAGCGAATAAACGGGCGTTCCAGCGAGGACATGCCGTCGAACTCCTCCTTGGCTCGGGGCCGCGATGGAGTGTCACCAGTGAATGCGCCCTACACGGCTTCCACATTCGCTGACTTACTTGTCCCTGCTGCTGCTGCCGCTGCCGCCGCCAGCATCGCACGCGGCAGAGGCGTCGGCGCCGCCGCAACCGCACCCAGCTCCGCCACAGCGGCAGGGTTATCACCGCCTGGCGCGGCAACCACCTGTACGGCATGTATCGTTGTGGCAGATACCCGGGACCCCTCTGAGACGGGCGTGACCTGCGCGGCTGGCCAAAGGAACGACCCACGGGGCGTTGCAGTGCCCTCCACGGCAAGAGCGGAACACGCGCCCGGTCACACACGTGCACAGCTCCTCCTCCTTCGTGGCGCATCCCGTGACGTGGAGGACTCACACCGAGTCCCCAGGTCTGAAGGTGCGTGCGAGGATTATGAAGGCCGGGCTGCCGCGCCGATGCACCCAAAGGGCGGCGGTGGCGGCCGGTTTGCCCGCCAAGCAGCGTCCGGGCTAGAGCATCCAGGGCAACACTACACCATCCTCAGCCCACAGCGGCATCAGCGGCGCCATCAGCAACAGCGGCAACAGCCTCTTGACTCAGGGGGATATGCGGGATGGCCTCTCAGCATGCATCCCCAGCATGCACCCCCAGAGTACGTGGTGGAAGCTCGCAAAGGTGATGGCGACGGTGACGGCGAAAGGTCCATTCACAGCCGCAGCGCACGACAGCCAGCCTCCCCCGGCCCCTCTCCCGCCGCGTACTCCGGGGCCCCCCGACAACTGCAGACACGGCGCCTGTGCTTGGCCCATCTTGAGGACATGCTAATCCCTGGAGCATTGGCTGCCCGCCGACGCCACCCTTCCGGCCTGCCGCTAGCGGCTCTGCAGGCTGACCTCGGCAGCGAGCTATTGCCGGCACCCTCTGTACCTCAGAGCCCGCTTCTATACGGCAGGAGAGGTGGCGGTTCCGGAGCCGCCTCGCCGGCTACAGGCGATGGTGTTGTGGGTTTCTATGAGTCAGGCCAGGAGGGGGGAGCAGTGATGAGGGGCGACGACAGTCCAGGCGGGAACGTCGCGCTAGCTGGTGGGTTGGGCAGTAGTGCCGGGCGTGCTGGCGAAATCGACAGCGGCAGCGGAGCAAGCGGCGGTTGCCGCAGCGCCGTTGGCGGCGGCAGTGCCGGTAATCGCGCTATACTGCGGCAGCGCCGGCAGATGGATCGATTGGTTTCTGAGCTGTCGATGCAGATACGCGCGTCGTTAGAAGTTCGGAGGCAGCTGCAGCAGTAGCAGCAACGGTAGCGGAGCAGTATCAAAAGCAGCAGGGTAGAAGCAGCAGTAGCAGTAGCAGCAGCAGCAGCAGTAACATCAGAGAGCGATGGTGGCCGTGGTGGCGTGCTTATAATAATGCACCTTGTTGGGACACGGGAAGAACGATAAGTGAACCCTGGTCCCCCAGGGATGAACCGAGGTCAACGTCGGAATCTGCACGTAGGCGCATCTCCGTGCGTTCCGTGTAGTGTACTTTGTGCCCTATATAAAAACCGCCGGTCAGCAGAACGCAGAGCGCGTCACCCCTCCTCCACGAGTCGCGCAAGTTGCCACAGACAATAAAGCCGCGCACGTACGGCAAGGTACTGCTGAATAAGGGTTTCTGCATTACAGAGCCCCTAGTGTTCCCGGGCGGCTTGCCATTGCTGTGCCGCTTTGGTGGGTTTTTTATTACTTCAGTGTAACGTTTGGGGCTCGAACGGGAGGACGCGCATTGCGATCCGGAGGATATGTGTACGCATGCTCGGTTGGGTGGACCTGTTGCTTGGGGCCCTATGCCGCTTCGCATGCATAGGCTCTTGATGCATGCAGATGCTCATACGTCTGGTGGGAGTGAGTAGGTGGAGATCACGGTATGGTGCTTGCTGGCACATGCCGACCTTGCTGACCGGTACTGCTAGGGTTCTAGCTTTCCCTCTAGCACCTCCTTGTTAGCCCAGTAAGGATCTTATCGGGGGGACCTTATACGTCTCCCATACCGTCCCTGCCTTCGAGCTATGAAGTCCGGGTTTCCTTGAAAGAAGCCGTGCGCTAATCAGTAGCCAGGGAATAATTTCCATGTATCACGTCGGATTGAATCCACCTGCTTCCCGATGCGCCGAAGGGGCTGCAAACGACGAAGCCATCTGCTTCCTTTCAGCGCTGAAATCCGTAGTGCATTCGTTGAACGTGGCCCATTTTTCGTCAGTCTACGTTCCATTCTATTACATTCGCGGTAGCCGCTTTATTCGTTAGGCAGAGAGATGTGTTTGAATGCTGTGATGTCTGTTGGCCGTCTGTTCATGAACTTGGCGTAACGGTTGTGTCCGATGTGGTTTAGATCTGTCGGGGTGCAAACCGAAAAAATCCAACGAGCCTAAACTTACGGAACATCAATTCTGGTCTGAGCTCGTGGTTCCGCCGCCGTCATCTTGTAGTGCGGCCAGAGTGCCCATAGGAGCGGAATATTGATGGTGCAAACCGCCCCGTTACCCTCTCACCGTTACCAGTCCCGGCCAGCTTTCCACTATTCGCTTTCGCTCTAACCCTCTTGGCCTCTTGGCCAACTTTCCAGAACCTGCCTCTTGCCCCGATCTCCACCACCCTGTCAGGCAATTTCTGGGACCATTGAAGCTGCCCATGGCCGCCGCAGTTACTTCCCTTCACAGTGCCGCAAAACAGCACAGGAATGAGAAACCCTAAGAACAACATACGAGTGACCGATTTAAGCAAATGAATCTGTGTGTGTGTGCGTGTGCGTGTGCGTGTGCGTGTGTGTGCGCGTGTGTGTGTGTGTGTGTTACATGGTTTGGGGTGCGTGACCCCATACCTGTAAAACTACCCATACGAGCCGAAGGCCCAAGGGCAATACCGAAACGCCTAAAAGCCACAGAGGAAAGGAAACACCGCACATCAGCCCAGACTAGCGCCCAAAGGGGGTAACTGAGTTGCGGTGAGCCCATATATGCTCCAACATCCTCGCCAGAGTTGCTCGCTCCCATTTCATGGCCTCCAACATGCTCTGCTGATGATCGAATCAATGGCGCATACCGCTGCTCGCTTCTCCTGCCAAAACTACTGGTGTGATACAGTGCGATAGTACCGCCAAAGGCCGCCTTGCATCCGTGTTGTACGGAAAGAAGAACGAACAAGCAAAACCCATTATACCTCGAGTTAGTCGATATCCAGTGTAAATTGGTAAGACCTCCCAACAGCACGGGGCGGCGGCGGTTCGAGGCTGTAGTAGCCGGTACACTGTACGGCACCGTGAACAACTACAAATACGCGCTAAGCGCGTCCACCAGCATCTCGAGAGGCCTTTTCAGCGGCCAGCTACTGCAAGAGGGTCCCGTTACCAGGAGAGGAAGTAGGAAAGCGCGACCCATGAAGCCCTCAGCATTACGTGTCATCTTCTCTTCGCGCGCTCCCAAGCAACGGCATCACCAGATATCTTTCCACCAACCGACCAGGGTGTTCGTGGGACCTTCCGCGCCGTGCTCCTGCTGGCCGGGGGGCCCCGCCCGCGGACCAGCACGGGGAGACAACCCCGGGGGTCGGGTCTCACCCAAACACCCAGTGGGCTACAGCCGCAGACACATCACATCTTTGCCGGAACCACAGATCCAACGAACCCGGCTTTGATGTGCTTTGCTCCCGCATTGCCATACCGGCACAGCCCTAGCGCACCACCTGGCAAACCCCCCTAAGACGGCCCTTCTTCCCTACCGGTAGTACTGCACCCAACCGGAGTACTTGGAAGAAAAAGTACTTCTTCTCCCCTAACCCCAAGAACCCGGCGGCCCCCGAGCACCCATCCACGTAGTCCCCATCTGGGCCCCAGCACCAATAGCACCACCACCGATTCACCATTATTTCTTCACGGCCTCCTCACCCTTGCAACCGACGACGCGCCTTCCGGCCATCCGCCACGCCAGCACCCACCACTCGCAACGCACGTCGCTCTCCTCTTCCCCTCAGCAACTCCCCTTCCAGGTACCAGAGTGACTTCTCTGACCCGTTACAGCGGTTCCACCAGCTGCGCAACCAAACAAAACAAAACATGCCAAGCCCTTTTGCGGCCCGAGGACCAACCTCCCATCCACCGGACGGTGCTGGTTACCGACCCCCACCCCGCAGCCATCATATCACACACACACACACACACACACATACACATACACACACATACACACACACACACGCAAACACCACATGCCGCCGAAATCAGTACCGCAGGCCGTTGCGCAGTCGTACACAGCTGAACGAGTGGTACCATTCGTACGTGCCGTACGCCCAGGCAAAGCCGTTGGACAAAAGGTGGATGAGTCGCCAGTGGATGCCGTCGCCGTACAGGGGCCACAGCAGCGCCGCCGGCAGGTACGCGGGCGCGGGGCTGGCGGGCGGGCGATGCCATGGCTCCAGGTTGAGGTGGGGAGGCACGGGTGGCAGCGCAAGCAGTACCTAGGGGTGCATGTCCCGCGGATGGGTATCGTGGCAGGGGTTAGGGAAATGGAAGCCCCCTCGACTGGGGGAAATGTCAAACGGAGGGCAAGGTCCACCGGAGTTAGGGCTTCTGGCAAGGGCGTGATGATCTAGTCGCTGTGCCGTGTATGGGGGAGGTGCGGGTAGGTGCGGCCAGGGTGTCTATTAGTGGAGGGTAAGCGTGGGGATGTGGGCGCAAGAAGTCACGCGCGGCCGCAGAAAAAAGCCCCAGCTCCGGTCCCATATCCGCACGCCCACACGGCCCCCGGGGCCCCCGGCCGCCCAGATGAGCCCCCAAGATGAGCCCCCCAGACGAGCCCACCTTGGCAGTGGGCACCAGCAGCAGGTAGTAGGTGGCTAGGGAGGCCAGGCCCAGGGCGATGGAGCGCAGCTTACCCAACCAGGCGCATGTCCTGTTGTGTTGTGTTGTGTTGGGCGGCGTG